TATGTTGTCACTTCCGCCGTTGCCGTTGTCAAATGGCGAGTCTGCTTCACTGAATTAGTGGGCTTGACACCTGATCCGGCGTAGGCTTTTTCGCTTCGCAATATGTTAAGTAACCTCGCCGGATTGTCGTCCCGAAGTTCCTGCTGCAGTACGATATAGAATGCCAGTGGTGAATACCATGGATCATAAGGATGCAACTGTTCAGGAATTTGGGGCGAATATGATGGTATATAGATTTTCCTTTTACATGTAGAGCAGCCTACAGCATCAGCGGCCAACGCTAGCTTTTCTTCCTTATTTCCATCTTCTATACAAAATGTTGGAGATCAATCTAATTATCCAGCAAAATTGCAAGAAGTCGGGTCAAGATAGCATGATTGCAATCATGACCAGATGCAATCCTGTGTTGCCGGCCTTCCCCGCTTCTTGTCATCTCGATTCTTCCCCGGAACTTCACCTCCTCACCAAAGGATTGTGGCGGTTAACATTAGGCTATATTCCTCTATCCCAGCCCAACGAATCCCATTCGTGGACCCAAATGACTTCCGATCTCTTGGCCGGAACAAGTCACTCGCTCTAGAGCAGTCGTTTCTCTACGCTGCCTTTTCTACTGGACGAAGATGAATGAATGTGGTCGGCAGTATGCCCGTCGTGGCGCTGGTGACACTGCGACGCAGGCAGCGATGCGGTCCTAGCAGGATGCTGTGTCTATCTCCCAATTGGACCGCATCTATTGTACTGCTAGACAGGTCATCGTGAGGGGCTGCAATTGCACAGCATGCTCAAGCACCCCCCCCCTCATTCCCACATCTTAACTGACAGGTTCAAAACAAATAGAGCCCTTCCCATGCTCCAGTGGCCTTCAAAATCCACTTCCCCCGCATACCCACCCAGACAAACCACACCATCACAATGCTCTACACCGAAGACAACAAACTCATCTTCCGGTTCGACGACCACCTCCTCTGGATCCAGCCATGGGGCGACAATGCGCTCCGAGTAAGAGCTACCAAGCTGGCCTCTATGCCCAGCGAAGACTGGGCCTTATCCTCCGAGATCCCATCAACCGAACCTAAACCTACCATCAGCATCGAAGAGCACAAAGACTCCAGCATCACCAACGGCAAGATCACAGCCAAAGTATCCCAACGCGGCAAGATCACCATCTACAACCACAAAGGAGACAAGCTGCTCGAAGAATACGCTCGCAATCGTCGCGATCTCAAGGACCCCAAATGCAGCGCACTGGAGGTCGAAGCTCGCGAACTGCGACCAATCCTAGGAGGCGACTTCCATCTGACCATGCGATTCGAGTCGCTGGACCCTAAAGAGAAGATCTACGGAATGGGGCAATACCAACAACCCTTCCTCAATCTCAAGGGCGCGGATATCGAGCTAGCGCATCGGAATTCTCAAGCCAGTGTCCCCTTCGCCCTCTCCTCCCTTGGCTACGGGTTCCTGTGGAACAACCCGGCTATCGGACGAGCTGTGCTAGGGACGAACACCATGAGCTTTGAAGCCTACTCTACCAAGGTGCTCGACTACTGGGTCGTAGCAGGAGATAGCCCAGCTGAGATCGAGGAAGCCTATAGCAAAGTCACTGGCTACGTGCCGATGATGCCTGAATACGGCCTCGGGTTCTGGCAATGCAAGTTGCGATACTGGAACCAGGAGCAGCTTCTTGACGTCGCCCGAGAATACAAGCGACGAAACATACCATTAGATCTCATTGTCGTTGACTTCTTCCACTGGAAACATCAAGGAGAATGGAGCTTCGATCCTGAGTTCTGGCCGGATCCGGGTAAGTCCTTCTCGTACATCTAAATATATATCTATATATAAAGCCTCATCGCCAACTAACACACTTCCCCACCATACAGACGCCATGATCAAAGAACTCCAATCCCTAAACGTCGAATTAATGGTCTCCGTCTGGCCAACTGTCGAAAACGCCTCGACCAACTACCCCGAAATGCTCGAAAAGGGCCTCCTAATCCGCCACGACCGGGGGCTCCGCGTATCCATGCAATGCAACGGCGACATCACACACTTCGACGCCACAAACCCGGCCGCACGCGCCTACGTCTGGAGCAAAGCGAAACAAAACTACTACGACAAAGGCATCAAAGTATTCTGGCTCGACGAAGCCGAACCCGAATACTCCGTCTACGACTTCGACCTCTACCGGTACCACGCCGGCAGCAACCTGCAGATCGGCAACATCTTCCCGAAAGAGTACGCGCGGGGGTTCTACGAAGGCATGGAATCGGCAGGACAAACCAACATCGTCAATCTCCTACGGTGCGCCTGGGCCGGGAGCCAGAAGTACGGCGCCCTAGTTTGGAGCGGCGACATAGCGTCCTCGTGGTCGTCGTTCCGCAACCAACTAGCGGCTGGACTAAACATGGGTCTGGCAGGGATACCCTGGTGGACGACAGACATCGGGGGGTTCCATGGAGGCGATCCATCGGACCCAGCATTTCGGGAGCTATTCACGCGCTGGTTCCAATGGGGGGCATTCTGTCCTGTGATGAGACTGCACGGCGATCGGGAACCCAAGCCGGAGAACCGGCCTACGGATTCAGGATCCGATAATGAAATCTGGTCGTATGGTGAGGAAGTCTACGAGATCTGTAAAAAGTACATCGGGATTCGCGAGGAGTTGCGCGATTACACGAGAGGGTTGATGAAGGAGGCGCACGAGAAGGGAACGCCCGTCATGCGAACACTGTTCTATGAGTTTCCTGCTGATAAGAGAGCATGGGAAGTCGAGACGGAATATCTCTTTGGCTCGAAGTACCTTGTTGTGCCGGTGTTCGAGGCTGGGAGGAGATCTATCGAGGTGTATTTGCCGGCTGGGGCGTCGTGGAAGGTTTGGGGTCAGGATGATGTGATACATGAGGGAGGAAAGGTGGTTCAGGTGGAGTGTCCGATTGAGACGATGCCGGTATTTGTCAGGGTTTGAGTGAGACTCGTGGGATATTTTGTATTTGGGTTTGGCAGTTGCCTGGCGGTGATGGGATGAATTGATGTATTCGACAGGGGGGATAGGGTTGGATGTATCGACTTGCAAATTGTCAGAGGGAGAGATAAGTTCAGCCACTATCCACTAAAGTAAATCACAAATTGCAATCTGTCAGCATGTGTATGTGATGGACTGACTCGACACTCTCGTAGAAAAAAACTTACAGTAATGCTGCTACTGGAATATCGTGGCCACAGTGCATCCGTCCATCCAGCAGGAAGGGAACAGAATCAGTAAGTAGGGAGGGGGCAAATGACAAATCCAAAGAGCGACTTCGATAGCCCTTTTTTTTTCAATACTTGGGTCAATGGTTCGTCTCCTTTCTTTTTCTTGCTTCATTTTCAGCCTCGCCAAGGAAAGAAAAGCAAGAAAGTGTTGCATGGATGGACTCTTCGACGGCTGAATCTCATGGCAAAAGCGTGGCAACTATCGAATACTAGAGAAGAAGCGAACATTCTACAAGATGAGTCTGGAAGCTCTCTTCTTAGATTACTTCTCTTTCCACTTCGATCGATCTAGTGGCGACCAGGGTCTCCACGAAGATGTCCCTAGTAGCCCCAAAGCGTAGCCACAAAATTGAGCCCAGCTTAGCCACATGGCCCAAGGAATGGGTTTTTTTTTGGCAGGAAAAAGAAAAGGATATGTATGGCTCAGCCCAGCCACAGAGAGTGGATTCATCAATAGGAGGGAATACTTCTTGGATCTGTAATAGGCGGAAACAGATTGTACGTGGGAATCTGTCCAGACTCAACAGAGTTTGTGAGTTCTTCCCTAGTTTCTTCCTTCTGCCCTTCCAGCCAAGAGACAGTAAGGTAGGCCGTCTCACCGTTGGATATACGAACGGGATCGATTGGCTCCCAGAAGAAGTACCAATGTCACAAGTGGAAGTCTGTGCAGAGAGCTATGACTGCTGCGTCTAGTGAACCATAAAAATTTGGCAGCGAATCGAAAGGCCTCGCGTGGAGTTATGCAGCCATCTCAGCTCTCTGCACGCTTCAATCAGTTTTCTGAGCCACTGTAGCTCCGGAAAGTTGGCTCAAAGAGGCCAGTGCAGTGCATATCATGGGTCTTGGTGGGCACCGTCGCATCGCTTGCTATCTTCACCCTCCCCTTATTTGTTCCTTTCCGTGCCGTCTGCCAGGTATACTCCCGAAGTCTTCCCTGACGGCTCGATTGGAGAGCCAGGAGCGGATCGCCAAAGAGGGGGGGTTTTGCCTAAAGAGGAGTTGAGGGTAGTGGAGATGGCTTCTGACGGAGTAGTTCGTTATGGAGCCGTACGTAGACGCCGACTCGGCAAATGCACGGTCGTCAAAAGTCATCGTAGGACGGCTTGTGCAAAAGAATTTGCCGTTCCAGACCCTCTTTTCATTTATTTCTTTTTCCCTCGTTGGTCTCTCGGTTACCTTTGTGGGTTTTTTTCTTTTTGCACAGAAGAAAAAAGGATTGAGGCCAAAGCTTAACCCTGAATCCTTAGGGACAAGTAGTGCGACGCCATCGTTTCCATCGTTCCTATTCTCAGTACCTCCCCGGGCTGATGTTAGCAAGCGATTGATCCATCATGCCCCATTGTCAGTGGTGCGACAAACCAACCGATCCGACACTCCCTAGTTCCAGTTTCTGACCCAGATGTGCCGGGAATAGATCTGAGGGCTGCTACAAACTGGTAGCCTCCGCAGAGGACTGAGGATTTGACGGGAAAGAAGGGAAATTAAGGAAGAACGGGTGGCTCCAGGGCCATGGAAACGGACCAAGATTCAATCCTTCTTGGTGAGGGAAGCGGCCGCCGTTCCCGGGCACGCGGCTAGCTCGTGGGTTCTTTTTCTTGGTTGGATGAGGAGGACGGCACATCCACGGCTCCAATGGTCCTTACCTCAGCGCCGGGACTGAAGGCTGAATGGGTCGTGAAGATTGAGTTTCGACCGGGTAGATTGGGTTTATTCGGGTGCACTGGCTTGGTCTGGTTGGCCCGGAGGCCCACTGATGTTCCTGCCACTCGCTACAGTCGGTAATCCGTGAACCATCCTATTGATGATTCACCTCTTGGCCCCAGGTGGCAGGGCCTCCCGTCCCAGGACGTTAGTTGTACGTTAGTTGTATGTTACTCTGATCACTCTCTGACCACCACGGGACCTAGGCTGCAGGTGCACACTCATCCGTTGGCACCGGTCACGAATAAACTTCTTTGACAGCGGGAGTGCCGTGGAGAACGAGGTCTGGTAACGGTTGGAGTAGAAGTACAACGGGCAGCACTGATGGTGATGATGATGATGCCGATGCTGATGATGTCTTGTGATCCCCTCTAGTTACCAGCTGACAAGTATCGCTGGGAATGGAATCAAGACGGCGTGGGTGGTGGAAAAAGAGAGTTTCTCACTCGATTTGTCAGATCTCAGGGAAGACTCGAAGCTGGTTGCATTCCAGTCTCGACAAAAGTCAATAGTGCCGTCACATCACATTAATCTGCATTGGTCCAGAAATCCTCCACCACCACCACCATCTTACCCAGACATGGGAACAAGGCGTCAGCTGCATTGGGGAGTTCACTGCAGCTCTGCCATGGTGGTGGTGACAGTGACTGGCCGCGTCAACACGACGTATCCGACCTCTAGGATGTGCGATGGAGTTCCCCAGAGTTTGTGGAAGGGGTAGTACAAGGAAAACCCAAGTAACTCCAGCTGAACACATTTTGTATACATGGATGATGAAGAAAGAGAAGAGGATGATGATGACGATGATGGGTCTTCTTGAATTGAGGAAGAGAGATTAGTTCCTTCCATCCTTCTACACCTTCCAAATCAGGAAATACCATAGGACCACAATGTGTATGTACCTCGCCTATGACGAAAGATGTAGCATTACACAACCAGCCATCTCTCCAAGTAGTAGTATACTTATTCTAGCCAACCATGTATAGTAGCATATCAGTATACATCACTCATCCATCATCATGGATACATCGAGTTCTCTACGGGGAACTACCTGGTTACTGTGGCAGACAGGCATACCTAGTTCAATACCCGACTCCAGATGTATACATATGTATGAACTGTGGATAAGATACTGCGATAGTTACTATTCTGACGGAAGGGTGGTACTGGAAGGAATCCTGCGGTGTAGCCATGATGGCTGCATCATGGTGGCCTCTATCCCCTTGTTGGGATTCGCAAGCGTAAAGGCGAAGCGGGGGGAGGAGGATGGTAAACTGGGTGTGTGTGTGGCAGTGAAGGTAAACTGGTTTGTTTCTACTTGGTTACAGATACTCCGTACTAAGCGTACTAGATAGATACGGTAAATCCATACAGTCACTAGCTAAGTAGTTTACCGCGCTGAAGTAAGGTAACACGACCCCCGGTGGGGATCCTGGTCAGCCGGGAGGACGGGGCACAGCACCTCCTTTGTCACACTAAACCCAAAGAGATAATCGGGGCAATGCCCAGCCGGGCATCTGGGAAGGATCGGGGAACCCACATGGTCCCCGAAGGGGAAGACATAAACCCCGATCAGAGAGGGCATCCAATCACGGGCTTTCCTGCCAATTCTTGCTGCATCCTGTATGTACCCTTCCTTTCACATTCACCACCACTTTCTCCCTCACCCCTCCCCTCTTTCAAATTCTCCACCTCCATCAGATACCGCGCGACGTCATGGGTCTACCCATCTACTCCATACTAGCTAGCTAACGATGGAGTCCTTGGACTGGGTACCACCGGGGATTGATTCCACATTCTCCGACATCAAAAGTGAGGTGAGGAGGAAGACGACAGATTGATACATACACGTACCTTAGATCTGGAACCGCCCATCTCTCGATCCATCCTGGTTATCACGGGACGGGTTTGACCGTTTTTTTGACCATGGATCAAGGTCCAGGCGAGCCAAATGCTAGGATACGGAAAACGGATACATAAAATAAATCCAGAAAAATATAAAATAAAATCAAAAAAGAACAATATGTGCCACCAAGCAAGGATGATAGGTTGAGAAGGATGCAACAACATAGTACGGACTCGACCTATCCTCGAGAATGTCTCAACACTAGTTAAGACGATGTAGGGTAACTTACAATCGCACCCTCCTGTTTACTATTACTGAATGAAGACAATGAATCCTTTACCAAAAAGTTTCCAGGTACTATAATCCCCGATTCTAATCATGCGCTGGTATAAATCGACAGGGCATGTGTCGGGACTGTGGTACACAAACGGGGTCTACTGACTCGGTAAACGCATGGGGGGGAGGGGAAAAAAGGAAGAATTAGAAATTTAAAAAAAAATAATAAATAAATATTGCGCGGAAGAATTATCAAGTCAACAGCCATGCATTATCTCTACCATGATTCATGGAAGCGTCAAGACCAACAAAGGAAGAAGAAGAATAGCAGTGTGGTAGCAAACTCGTTGTTGTCTTAATACTACTTATCGTCCTCTTTACTGTACTGAAATACCATTGGCTCTTCAAACCACGGAAAACAAGAAGACTCCTAACTGACAGGCGGTGCTCGGACCTCCTGAGGTTCGCAGACTTGGAGGCCCGACAGTCAGGAAACAGCGGCGGGATGCGAGAGAGCCGTTCGCTCCACTTCTTCAACTGACCCCCCATACGGTGTCCTGCAGTCGGGGATCCCTGCCCATCTATCTCGTCTTGCTCTCTCACCCTCTCTCGTTACTACATTTCCTTTTGATTTGACGGTTGTACGACGTCCTGCGGACGCTGTGTGTGTGGGTGGAGGTACACAAAGTCGGTCGCGCGGTCGCACTCTCGCTTAGAACATCACTGTTACATATTCCATTGACCTTCTAGTAGTAGTAGTACCCCGAAAAAAAAAATAAATTCAATCAAAAATCCGCCTTGTATCCCCTCTCACACGAAAATCATATTCAACTAAATCAGTAGCGCCCAGTAGACAGGTACCAAAATTAACATCTTACACCCTTCAAGAAAACAGCACTAATCGTGGAGCAACAGCTGAAGATTTAATATATTCAGTGGCCAGGCACTGCTGAATATATTCCTGATCTGGCAAGTGGCAGGGGAGATCAATCAAGGAATCCCGGGTGCTGCACGCTAAGGTATGGGTCAACCAGGGTTTATCTCAAATACTTCCCGTGTCTCTGATTGGCAACCCAAGGCCAAGGTACATCGGGGACCATCGACCGGGGTTAAACAAAGTAGTTAGACTAGACCGGGCAAGTCAGAGTAGTCCTAGTAAGTGACTTAGTAAGGTGGTCGTAGCACTGTACATCATTGCTACTAGGATTTAGACTTCTTGTGTGGCCCCCCCTCCTTCGTGATCAATTCAATAGTACACACTACACACGGTTCCTTCTTTACTTTGCTTCCGTCCAGCTGGGTCTGGAGTAATCGTGGTCGCGATTAAGATGGAATTAGTATTAATTACTATTTAATCCTCAATGTATGTAGTAAAGGTACCTTACAGCTAGTAGTCTGTGCAGTGTTCAAAACAATTGGATCGGTCATATGTATACTAGTAGTAGTAAGTAGTTGTTCATCTGCCTCAGAAATATATATTTCTGCGGGCCGCTGTGCAGTTGCAAAAGGACGATCACACATCGAATCTTCTTGGTACTTTGTAACTAACAATCTTTGACGAAATGACGTACGTATGTCGACTCCAGTAGTTTTAGTAGTTTCTGAAGTGCATTTAAAAAATAATGGAGAGTTACTAGTAGTACGTAGTAACTACTTAGTACTAACCGAGTGGGAAAAAGCTGCGTAAGTAAAGCGATGTAGGGATTGTTCCCCGTAAGTAAGTAAACCATGTATGTATGCAAATCCGTTTGTTCGTTTTTCTGTACACGGTACTCCGTACCACGAGGTTAAGTAGGCAGATCGCAAGTACCCGTCCACATGGCAGGCTTGTAACCCTCCCACGACGTAGATGGCGTTTGACACCGCTCAGAGCCACCCACCTTTCCCCTGATTCCTTTATTGAGGTCAAAAAGCCCTCCGTAGAATGGGGTCGTGGGGGACTTTGAGAGTTTCTTGTGATACCAAGCGGGTTTTATTCTGATTTCTTAAATCACCGGGGTAAGGCTAGTTTACTTTCCATGTATATCCGAAGTTAGCCCGGGCGGGCGGGAGCATACGTTAACGGACGTTGTTGTTGACATGGATAGGATGGCAGGATTCGGGGACCTGGAATGTAAGTTGTGTAATAGAGGGTAAATGGTTGTATACTATAGTAAGTATCTAACGTAGTGGAAATGTATTCCAGTTCCCACTAATAATTACTGGGTCACAACAGTTTGTTGACGGGATGCTTATGAGCGATTTGGTTGGCGGTCCGGCCCACAATATGATTTGATTTTTTGTTCAGCTTGTGTGTATAGTATGTGTGCGCGTGTGTTTTGTGTGGAGGCGAAGGCAAAGAGAGGGGGGAAAAGAAAAATGACTAAAAGATCCAAAGAAGGAGAATGCTATTGTCCATTTGAAAAAAAAAAAAAAAACTAATAAAAAAGAACCTCGTTAAAGCATGGCTAAAACACTATGGCGAGCCGAGACCATCAATTACATTTCTCCAGATCGTACCTGTCAATTGCATTAATCTCGCCTCAATCAAGATTAATCTAAGTGCGTCTTCGTCCTTTTGACGAGGTCGCAAAGGCCTACCGAGATCGCTCTTTTTCCCTAGACTTCCCCCCCCTCCCAGTCCGCGATCATCATTACCTGGATGGGACTAGCCCCGCGCTTCCAGAATGACAAATACCTTATTTTGGCAGACCAATCAGCTGCTTATATGGGGCAGTGGTTCGTCACGTCATGCAGTTCAGGTCCTCAGGGGTTCGTGCTTACTAGCCTGTTTAGGTGAGTTGAGGAACCAATTGGTAACTGATACCTCAGTAACTAGGCTGCGGTACTACCAGTATGGCGGTATTGATGACAATTAGGCCCGAAACCGAAGTGAAGTTACACTCTAACCGTCCACACAGCTCTTTCGCTTCCGTCCTTACTTTACAGGAAGTATGTTGTAGGTTTTTTTTTCCATTGCGCTCTCCATGATGTGATGACGTTCAACGGCTTGACTCGTGGCACTCTCTTCCCCTGAGGTGCCTTCTTTTTCCCTTTCCCGTTGGTGACCTGTAAGCGAGTAACCTCTGTCAACCGCGCTTTGCTAAGAGAGAAAAAAAAAAAAATGGAGCTTTGAATTTCCGTTGAGCCGGTGAAGGTGACAGTTGGTTACCCACACAGCATTCCAGTAAGAGAATCTGTATGTCACCACATCCGAAACGATGTAAGGCGGGAGAGGGGGACCATCTGTTGCTCTGTGCTGTAATAGAGTGTGTGAGAGCGAGCGAGTCTGTGACAAGACAAATCCAGCCAATACAGGTCGGATGACCCCGAATATTTCCTCCCCCTCCCCCTTCATCCGGAGAAAATCTTTATCAAATTCCATCAGTTCGGGGGGAGGCTAGGCAGGGAAAATAGAAGCCTGGAAGATTTTCTCGGAGACGCCGATGGAGGGTGGTGGTGACCTGGAACAATAGTTACTGCAAGAAAAAAACGACGCATGGCAAAACATGGCGATGCCTTCATAGTTGCTAATAGTTTGGACGAGAAGAGTAGATGATAGACCTGCAGAGACGACTGCACGATGATCTGGATCCGATCGTCTTGAAAAATTGACGAAGTTTATTGTTCCCCCCTTCCCACGCCACTGGGAATCGAGGACACACTACTTACTAACTCTTACCAGTTACCAGGGCCTTCAATTTGCCAAGCGCTTTACATCGCGCACAGAGTGATCAACCTAGATCGCCCAATCGCAGCAACGTTGTATCCGATCGAACAATAGTTCCGAGGGCAAGGTTTTGGGATGGATGGCAGGCGAACAATACTAGTAAACCCATAGTCTTGGATGGTTAACTTTAGCTTCTCGAGTGTGACCCCATCCATTCCCACCGCTTAGTATGACAGCGGGACGGTACCGGCGTGGTGAGCTGACAAGCACTTTACTCTGTCTGGCTTAGGAAAGCAGGTAACCCCTCATAAAAGGCACTGGTACTTTCCGTTGGTCACGTATCATTTGGAATCTTCCGACCTTCCCCGGATGATCGTGACCAAAGTCATCGTAGAAAGGACAATATACGGGGCTTTTTTGATTTATGTACGCACTCCATAGCTGCAGAGCAGGGTGAGGCTAGTACCTGGCTGGGAGGGCCATGCTCAAGGCGAACAGCCAATGACGAGGCAGAAGGCCACTCTGCCACATTGATGGGCAATTCCGAAAAGGGGGAACCTGAGGATTCCATGAGATCTATCATACTTCTGTTGCATTGCCTACAATGGCGAGTCTCGTCGCGGATCCCTCACCCGGATAGAACCCTGCAGGTCAACGTGAGTCAGGAACTTGTATCCTGGGTGCTGGTTGGATGAACCTGAGAGTTCTACTTACGTAGTAACCCATTTTTTCTCCCATCCATTTCCCCTTCTGATTACTCTATACGGAGAATGAAGGTGTGGTTCACAGCGTTGCGTCCCAATTGAGCGAATAGTAGTAATCCACTGCTTAGTGGTTGCAGTAAAAGTAGTAGTACCTATCTGAGCCAACTGCACGGGCATCCACTGCGTTGTTCTGAGCCAATCGACTTCAAGTCCTTTATCTTCGTACCTGATCGACTTCGGGATGCAGAAAAAAAAAACGACAATGAACCGAGGTGACGGGACAGCGGTCCCGTGTCTCTGGTGCAAAGGGATTCAGATCGAGTGGGCTAGTAAGTACGTAGTAAGCATCTGTGTGTAAGAAAACGATGAAAGCGAGAAAAGATATCCGAGGCAATATGCCGTAATGATTGGTCACCTCAAGGAGTTATGACCAAGATGACTAACAACTCGGTGGTGAGAACGAGTCCGATCTTTGGTAATCTCTGGTAAGTGCGCTTGCCTTATGCCTGGCAGCCGGTAGCACCGGCGCGAAGGTACTCCGGCCCAGATTCGAGATTGCGTACGATCCCCATGTCGATCCCAACCCTACCGGGTATGAGACAAAGCCAAAAGATTCCAAATCTTCAAAGGGCGCTAGCCGCTCTGCACCAATCACTGCCCCCACTCAAACGGTTCATGTTCTGGGTAACGGCCCACGGGGAGTGGAGGAGGGATCAAGCCTGCGTCCGGTGCGGATGAGGGTTAGCGGCGGCCAATGGGCGCCACCAGCCAAGGGTGAGGCCAAAAGTAGGAGGGTTACAAATTCCTCCTACTACTGAGTGCTAACTACGTATTGTAGTAGTATCTAGTACTTTACTCGAGAGCAAAAAGTGGGAAATAAACAAGTGTGTTCATGGCTGGCTGATGGACATGGTCTCGAATCAAATTACTGCAAGCAATAGTAAATATGGTGGTGTGTTGGGGGAAGGAAGAATAAAATTTACCCAGTATTTGGTAGCTGTGAACAATGCGCAACAAGAATTGTCATCTCAATAGTAATAATCAAAAATGAAGTGTAATGTATACCTAGAGTGGACAAGCCCATGACTCGATCCTTTGCCTACAATGGCCCTTTTTGCCTATCAACTTGCCTGGGGGAGAAGGAGGAGAAGGAAGAAGGAGGGGGGGGTTGTGCGGGCGCCTGTCCACGATCTCGGTACACCTTAACGCCTTTATGCAACCACTCGGGGGTGCTCTTTGTCATTTTTCCGCATCTTGCTCAAATCGGTAATCTATTTCCCTGTCCCCTGCTCTCTGTGTCTTCTTTTCCCTCCTTCCTCTGCCCTCCATCAGAATTTCTAATTCCGAGGTTGCCCGCCCCGCCTGACTGACCCATGGAAACCCATCCGGTCAGTATGACCACTCCTATCCTCATTCGCCTACCTCCCAGACCGTTTCTGCCGCTCCCGTTTTCCTGTCAGGGCCTGAACTTTGACGAGCATGGGCCAGTCCATACGTACCCATACTTACCTAGTAGTAGCAGTCGAAACTGGATCTGGTGGATAGATCGCCCATGGTCTGCAGTCTGCCATAAGAAGCGGAAAAGGGCCGTGAACTAACCAACTAGGTTTGGGATATTCCCGTTTAGTCGACGCCCGACTGATCGGTACCATCGACTTGCTCGCACTTTTTCTCCCTCTTGTGTTTTGAGAAGCATCCACAAATTTTTAATTAATTCTCCCTGTCGTGCTGCTATTATTGTACGTTTCATCGCGCCTATCTGTCGGATCAGCTGGGCTGATGCGGAAAGTTGGAATTTCTCATCCATCCATTCCATTACTATTCTTTCCGGTCAAGGCAATTAGTCTCTATCGAGAGGGTTTTGTCACCAACAGGATTAAACTATCAGCGATGGATGGGTAGATCAACCGCCCAGGATGTGATGTCCGAGAAACGCCGTAGTCAAAAAATCACATTCTGGATAGCATGCTTGCTAGATGCCCTGTGTGGCACACCGTAAGAAGATGGCACTCGTGTCAACCAGGGTAGCCTTGCCACAGATACGATTCATGGAATGGGTTCCCCTGGACGTCTCAGCCTGCTTCTTGTCTCTTACACAATGTTCTTCGATACCGCAGTTCTTTGACAAAAGAGAGGAACGGGGGCAGATTAGTTGCAGAAAAAAGGATCAAGTCGACTGTAGAGTATCCATCTCTATGCCTCACCACGCCAGTAAGAATAGTATCAACCATGATCCCTGCTGCAACACCGATCCTCTGGTAAGAATCAGTCACTACTAGGTTAGCACCTATACTAGGTATTGGGTAGTGGCAAATCCTCTCCCCACGATCCGGAAACGCCAGCTTCTGAGACTGCTGCAACTGATCCTGATAGCTGCCCTGTTTCCTTTTTTCCAGCCCCTCCGTTGGTCGTGTGGTTGCTTTGCAATTCTTTCCTTCTATTCTCCCCCCCTGTCAATTGATGGGTCTGAATTACCCAAAAGAGATACTGCAAGAAGTTGCCCGTCAACCTCACATTTCCCCACTTTGACCTCCAAAGATCGGTTATAGTCCAGACACACATTGAACTAATTTTTTATTTCTTATTTTCTTTTTGTCATCATCTAGCCCGCACCCGCAGTGCTTCCCATATAGTTACAGCCTGGGGCGTCAAAAGGGCAGTAGTAGTAGAGCTATGGATGGAGGTCAATCTAAATTAATCAAATGGACTAGCCTAGTAGGTCTGTGCCCCTAGGCTAGCTCTGCCTCCTTGAGGAAGGCTACCTGAGGTGGTACCTGCCTAATACCTAGTTTCCCCCTACTAAGGACTACCTGTTACTACTACTAGTGACTAGTGTAATTTACACGCATACTGCGGTACTAAAAGTAAACTATACGGAGAATACCATACATACCGAGCGGGTACTGACTGGGGCGTCAGGAAAATAAAAAGAAAAAAAAAAAGAGGAGGGGGTCAGAAAATCGAAAATCAGAAAATCAAAAAGATCAATTAGGAAAAAATAAAATCATCACAACACAAAAAATTAAAAAATCCAATTCCAAAAAAAATCAATAATATTTGGCATTTATTATTATTAAATTTATTCCTCCGACACAACTGTCAGCTCCGAGATCTTGGATCAGATCTTCTCCTATAGCGTGCTCTAAGTGTGGAGCAGTAGCCATTTTTCTCTGACCCGTCTCCCTGGTCATTGTATTCTGCTGCTGCTGCTTGTTGCTATAATAGATGATCGTAACCTTCATCTCCATCACTCCTTGACACGACTATTGTCTATCGCCCTTTCTCTAATTCCAATTCCCCCTTCCGGGTCTCACCTCTCTTCCTATATATCTACCACCTCGACGACGCACCTTTGAACCTTATTCTTTCTCCATCATCAAACAAACTCTCACTCCCCAACTTCCCACTCTTACTTCCTACATAACCCAACAGCTCGGTTGCGTGGTCATTGCTCCTCCCTCCTTGCTTGTCTATCTACCCTACTCTCGTCCCTTATCCATCACCCGCGTGTGTCTATTACACTTGTGTGTGTGTGTCTGGTCTAGTCCGCTCCGGGTACACTAAACCTCCCACACAGCCAACCCCACGGTAAGAAGCCTGTTCCCTTTAAAAGACGTCAACCCTCCCCGCCCACGCATAGTACCTGAACTCTGTCGGCGCCCCCCTTCGACTGTCCCCAACTCTCTTTTAAAAACTCTCCGACCTCCTGGCATTTCTGGACTCTAACATTACATCCTTAGATTTTCAACTACCTAAATTCTTCCATCAATCACTCGGATTAATTCTTCCTTGTCAACTACTTGCAATGGCTCCCACTCATCGTCGTGGACCCTGGGTTCCCGAAGAGGACCAGTTGCTCCTTCAGTTGGTTCGCGAACAAGGCCCCAACAACTGGGTCCGCATCTCTCAGCACATGCACTACCGCTCGCCCAAGCAATGCCGGGAGCGCTTCCACCAGAACCTCAAGCCCTCTTTGAACCGTGAGCCCATCTCTGCTGAGGAGGGCTTGATGATCGAGCGGATGGTCAACGAAATGGGCAAGCGCTGGGCTGAAATTGCACGACGCCTTGGAAACCGCAGCGACAATGCAGTTAAGAACTGGTGGAACGGCAGCATGAACCGCAAGAGAAGAGGTCTCCCTACCTCCAGCTCGCCTCACGCCGGACGCACGATGCACGGACGGGTCGAGGCCCCATATGCGCGGGCCTCTCTGGGCTTGAGCAGCCCCATCAGCCGTTCTCGCTACTCTTCCATCTCCAACGACAGACCTCTGACTTCCTGGACCAAGTCTCCTTCATCTCGGAGGGATTCCTTCTCCGCCTCTTCCATCGACTGCCCCCGCCAGTTGACCCCGATCTACACACTTCCTGCTCTTAACCGCCCTGTCGAAACTCCTCTCACCTCGCCTGCCTTCTCGGAAGCTTCTTCCATGGAGCCTCCCTCCATGATCTCGGACCACAACTCCGTCTCTTCCTCCTCTCCCAGGACCATCGCCTCGCCACAGCTTCTTCCCCTTCCGGTGGACATGAGACAGCAATACGGCGACTTCCGCAGGCAGAGCACTTCGGATGAGATCTATGCCTACCACGATCTCTCGTTGAAGCAACGGTGGATTTCCGATCACCAGCAATGGAACCAGCATTCTCCGCTATCTCCCACATGGTCTGCTCCGATCGAAGACAAGACAGAAGCCCCGCGCGACTCGCGGATGGGTCTTCAGAACTTGCTCAACTAAATGACGATAGCGACCATTGCTGGATATGATCAACGAACTTTTCTTCTGTCATCGATTTTCTATGGGAAATTTTATGTACATGACCTCCCGACCCTCGTCACTCCTTTGTTTGGCATAATTTCCTTTGTACTTATATCATCACCTCATGTATATTGTCTTTTTGGATGGTTCGGCTCGGCTATTTCCACTGCGGGTCACGTGGATACGGCCCGGTTTCCTTACGGTACCAAAAAAAGCATTCGGGATCTCCTTTTGTCATAGTTATTGTGTTCCCTTCCCTTATTTTCTTTGTCGCTCATCATTTGGCTTACTGGGTATGGGGTTAATCATTGTGTATAGAGGAGATTGAGGAGTGCTGTCCATTGTTTTGCATGTATATGGTTGGGTTTTGGAGACTTTTGGAAAGTACTGTGAGCTTGGATCTAATAATACCCCATGACTGTTGGTTGTTACATTGCGCTATCGACCAGATGATCGTTTAATGATACATTAATAATACTTCCCACTCAAATAACTCCTCTCTTCTGTTACTTAAGTTGTAAATTCCGACTACTGTTTCTTTGACTAAATTCTCTCTCGACGCGGCCACTATCCACCCATTCTGGATTGGGGGTGTTTTTTCCGGATCTGGCAGGCTTACTTTCTTGGGCGCCAGCCAGGCTTGACCGTTGCGCCCATGGACGAGCCCAGGAGGATGATAGGGGGCGAGGATCCACTGGAACAACGCCGCATATCCTCCGTGACTGTGGCTGGCTGTCATCAGCTCCTGTCTTCCCGTGAAAGCCGCGGAATCTGAGGTTCAGAACGCAAGGGGCGACCCTAAGTTACGAGGCGAGACTGCATGGGAGAGACACGAGCAGGTTCAAGGAGGGAAGGCAGCGTGACAGCACAATTACTGGGTTCGAAAGAGACCGAGAAAATCCGGGATCTCAAGAATCAAGAAAATGAAAAAAGACCTAAAACGGAATATGGGTCATTGGAAAAGAAAAGAAGAATGATTTACGAATTCACATTGAAGGGAGTGGAAACTACTTACCACCACATACTACATACATACATACATACATACATACATACATACAAGGTTGGCTGAACAGAGACACAGCAGCAGCAACACTCGGACAGCATCCACCAACCGTCGTTGGCGCATGGCAGACCATCTCCACGGGAAAGGTGGAAAGGATAGGTCCATTAGGAACACAGCTGACGACTGTCTGATCCAATCCTTCCACTTGGAGTTTCGGGATTGGCATGGCGAATGAATGGGGGTGGATATTGGAAGTCGTGATGGTTCATGCATAACGGCCAGTGTCAATGGAAGTGTTCTCAATGGCCGGAAGGCTTTTACCCTTTCTCCCCCCCTCCACTACCAGCACTACCAGCACCACCACCACCTCCTCCTCTTACTGAAGTACTACGTTAACTTGGCCCCAGTTGGGAGGTAAGGTTGATAGCCAGACAAAGTTTATCCCAGGGACTTGGTGGATTCCGATTTGACTGGGTTGATTCGCCAGCGCCCCTCCCTTTCCTTTTCTACCCTCCCTTTCTTTACTCGTTTACGCACATGTCGCTAACGGTCTCGAAGCAGGGCTGTCCCGTGTTGTATTTTTTGATTTTTGATTTGATATATTTATTTATTTACTTTTATTTTATTGTGTTGTTTTTACCTTTGCGCAAGCATTCAGTCTGGATAAGGTAAGTAAGCTTGTTGGAAATTGAACAACCGCCTGTCTCATTTGGGACCCATCCGCGGTACGAGAGAGTTATGGGGGATGGGGAATCCGACGGGCTTCATTCTCCCCAATGGCTTTCTTGTCATGTCAGCAGTCGAGCGGTCCCCGAAGAAGCGGGCTTCAAAGCAGCCTATAGTAGAGAACAGGCAGAAGGAAAGCAGGAAGAAAAAAAAAACAAAAGAAAATACAAAAGTGAAAATGAAAAAAAGAAAATATAAAGGGAAGCGCAAAAGGACGAACGATAAGGACGATGGAGCAGCCTTTCCTATTTTCCCCTCCATTCCCGCCACCATTTTCTTCTCAAGATGTGCCACTACGACCTTCCTGGTCTGGACTTGGGTGTCCAACTCACTAGTGGCTTTTTGGGCTATCCCAATCGTGACGTGCTGTTCGGAGACATGGCTTCTCCTTCCCAACCTGACTCGCCACACTCGCGACGGATACCAAGCCACACCCAGTGAAGGGGACGGTGCTGCACGTATGCCGATCAGGCAATCACCATGACTGATCAAGAATGAAGGCATCGGCGGGGTCACCGAACGCAGGAGCTGTAATCCACTCTGTGTGGTGTATTATGTATGCACTGGCACTCATGGAGTGTCTCCAGTGCTCTACGCACTGCATACCCACGACTGGTGGTCTGTTTCAGCCAATCTAACATCTCACACGCACCACTGTTGCGCTGCCATGCGTGCATGAGCATACCAGCTCCTGCTCGCCTACCGGTAGGCGGTGCAGATTCAGCTGGGGTCAAAGTTGGGTGGAGTCAAGTTCAAGGGTGAGGAAAGGATGATGCAGCTCGTCCTGGAGTACGTTGGCTCGCCAGTGACCCTCTCTGACGGCCGTTGGCCGGTGGGGGACATCCTACGCTTCGTATCAAGTACGCATGACTATGTAGATATATCTCAGACGCATGGGTTACACATCAGTACATACCCATACACATACACACCTACCAGGTTGGGCATATTCTGACACAAGGCTCCGGGGGTTACACAGGACCAATTTTGGGACTTTCTTGTGACGTTGAATCGTTAACCAAGTTCCAGAACAAATATAGCATGAAACAAGACATTCTACATCCGTGCCAGTCGCACCATGGGGTAACCCAATACTCCAGTGAACTAAAGGAGTTCGACAATACGGAGTAGACGACAATGCCAACACCAAAACCAACAATGGCCTAGTGAGGAAACGAAGAAGCAGCAGCAGTAACCAGTCACCGCCGGCGCAATGGATCTGGAGCCCTGCCGGCCAAGAGATTCTCGCATTAATTAACTACCGCTGATCTTTTTTTACATCTGATTTGGAATTCTGGTTGTTAGCGCCCCGCTAATCCACTTCCGTCCACTCGCGACATGCACACCGTGACGTACCCTCAGTTCCATCCCCGATCCTGCATCCTGATTTGACAGACGGACTAACTAGGAGATTTACGCCTTTCGCACTATGGGGGGGGGGGCGTGTGGTGAACAACAACCGATCTGTGTTCATCTCTTTACCACTCATCCAAGTTTTTCCCCTACCTCCTGTTCTGGCTCGAGCATGTTCCGCTTTTCCGATCCATTGGTCAAGGATGAAAGGCTTGGCAGTGGAGCCCTGGGCGACCGTTACACAATCTTCACGATGGCATATTATTCTGGTGGAAGCATCGAATGAGGTTTCAGCATCCGAACCTGCTGCGGAAGCTGCAGATAGAGCAAGTAAAGTTCCAACAGCGCATCCATGGATCCCCTCTGACCACGACCCAAGATACGGGGTACGTCAGTTTGCCAAGCAGGCAGACGAGCCCAGTCAAGCGATCGTCAGAATTAACAATTAATGCTCGAAATTGATTAAGCCCCAGGCACACACGCACAACGCTCAGTCAAATGTATGGATGCATTTAAAATTGATTATGGTTAATTTGTATTATATTGCATTTTATCACTACTACTGCCGCCGGGGATAGCATCCTGACAGCTGAAACAATCCACCTCCAACATTAAAATTTTTTGAAGCAATCTACAAAGCTCTGTCTGGTTAATTTTAAAGCTGTCTCGTCTATCCCCATCTCCATCGCCAACCCCCTGCCGACTCTATCGGCCATCTGGTCGCATGCCCAACAGAACCGATGCGGTCGTTTCGGGGACCTTAATATACGACTGTGGGGATTAGTGCGTTCAGCCAAAGAGGAGAAAACAGAGAAAGTTGTTGAATCATTGGTGCACCTCTTTCATTCATCCCACACCCCCTGTCTTCTGCCCAAATGATGCGACATTAGTATCCGATATTATTAGTATTATTCTGTTACTTCCCCCCATAGATCTTGTTTTGTACTAGTGATGTGGATAGGTAGCTGAAGCGTTGAGGTGCGAAATTCCCTTTTTTCCCTCTCCCAGAACCAACCTACGGAGTAGCTTGACTAGCTATTCTCAGATTTACGGTTTGATTTTCCCTTCTTCCCGCACCCGGTTTGATCGTCAACTATGCAGATTTATGCATGGATGGGGGAGCTCTATTGTTCCAGATAGATTGTTTATAACAGCTTTCCTTCTCTTCTTCTCCGCCTCCTCATCCAGCTCCAAATATTGCCACTCCAATAGTCGCTGGGTGCTGCGCCCTCCTAACTATCACCCCCCAGAATGCCTCAGGGGGCGGCGCAGACACCATTCAGCTGAGCTCGTATGATCCCCATACACCATACGCTCAACAACCCTATCCCATAACAGACATTTGTTATTACCATTAACGCCCAACATCCATGTACTTCCGATACCTAACTAGAAGGGGGGAAGATGGGGGCGAAAACAGAACCAGAGCCAGAAACAACCCCCAAACTAAATTCGAATGGAAAATAAAATGAAATAGAATAATCTACGATACTGCTATCTCCAAAAACCGCACCCCCGATCTGATCGAATCAAATCAACCCTAGCCGATTTCCTTAAACGGAAAAAGCTCAACATCACTACTAACCCGCCCGCTCCGCCCGCCCAACGATTTGATTGATTTTCCCCGATCCATTCCATCCCATCATCCATGGATCCATCCATCCATCCATCCATACTATCCATCCCACCCACACTTGGTTTGATCTCCAACCTCCCACCGAACCAATCCTCTCGTCAAGATTCTTGTCGCTTCTCCGTAATCATCTACTTCCGACCACTCACAACCTCTATCTTCCCCCCTCCCCAGCCCGTGAGTAAGTAGTGATCTTCCCGCGGTCCCTGCGAGGAAGACTCACTCACTGACTAACTTACCGCCGGTCGGCGCGGTTAAAAAACGTCCTTCTTCTCCAAGCGACCGACCCAGAACCAAGGGTTGGTATTCACTTTTAGTCGGAGTTGCTGTTGTTTATGTGAAACGGTCGCGCGAGGCACTGTGCCCACGATTTGCATTCGGTTAGAGAGAGCACAGTTTCCACCCTGAGTCCCTCCCCCCCTCTCTCTTTCTTTCTTTCTCCTGAATCGAACGGGATGGATGAATGGATGGGTGGATGGATTCGAATCTGGAGAACCTGAAATCGGAAACGAAACGTGATCGATGCGATACGATGCGATGCGATGCGATGGGTTTGGGTGGTCGGTCGCAGTGGAGCTTTGTTCGCTACGAGGACGAGGCTGGAGATCGTTCACTACTTACTCCGTAGTAGTAAGTATACAGTATACACACGTTTTTATTTCTTTCTCGATTTAGTGGTATTATTTTCTCCTTATGAGGATGTTTTTGACTTTCCCACACCCCCCTATCCGACGAGTTTTTTTTCTGAGGAACCTTCCTCTTTAGGGGTGGGCTTCGATATCGGAGTTGTTGATTTTTGACTTTTTTGGTTTCCAACTTTCCTTTCCTTCGGATAAGGGATCGGGACGGGAGTTTCGGAAGAATATCTATCTACCTTTCTCCGTGTCCCGTACTTGCGGGTAGGATAGGAATAGGATAGGCCCGTAAGGATATACGCACACACCTACCTTATTCTGTAGAAGCTTGCTCTCGTAGGCGGTAAAAACAGCCACCACCGCCGCCGCTACTGCTACTGACGATGATAATGTATCCTGGGATGGTAAACCCCCATAGGACAAGACAGCCGGAGAGAAAAAAAATAAAAATAAAAATAAAAATAAAAATAAAAATAAAAAAGAGAAGAGAATGAGTGGGTCTCAACTCACCCTTTTCCTTTCTTTCTTTCTTTCTTTCTTCCAATCTGGCCCCCTACTGCCCAAGCTGACCCTGAAGAGTGCAGCAGACAGCATGACATGACACAACCCCTCCCCCCCCCCAATCCCCTCCCTTGTCTCGCCAGTTTTATCCAGATTGATAAGTAGTGCCCAAGCTTAATAGTGGCTGATATAGATTAGTTTTCTACGGAGTAACCGCACAGCATACTCAGTAGAGTATAGTTCAGATTAGTATAATATAATATAGTAAAGTTAGCTAGCTATGTCTTTTGATGGGGCACCAACCACTGGTAAACTTCCTACCGTTTATTCTTGTTTAAGCTTTCCAACCCCTTTTTTAATGAAAATTGACTTTTTTACCGTTCCGTGAACCTTTCCCTGAGTTTTTCTCGTTGCGAGGTACTCCGAAGATACATACATACATACATAGTAAGTAGTAATGCTAATCGGAACGTAGAATTTGCCCGGTGGTTCCGAGCATAGGTAATTTTCTTTGCCCGCTGGCAGGCAGGCAGGCAGGCAGCATAGCGGCGGGTATATCCGATGGACGATGGAAAAAGTGAAAAACTTCCAAACCCACCTACCTCATTTGAAGAATCTGAAAAATTGGTCCTCTCCTTCAGCTCTTGAGCCTTCCTAGGATAGCATAGTACATATGTAGTAATCCAGCTTGGGATGGGATGGGATGGGATGGGGTGGGATTTGTGTCTCTGGACTACTCTGGAACCTGACGGATTCTCGGGATTCTTTACTAATCTGAGCTTTTCCGCGTCGTTGAAATTATGCCCTGCCTAGACTACCTAGTCCATAAGTAAGTAGTACTATGGGGGTTTAGTGGTCACTCACTCTATCTGGAGGGTGGTGGTGCTTAGTAGTTAGTGCGGGCTGAAAGAGAAGAGGAAATATCGGACATCCCGCGCTAATTGGTTACTTTTCCTCATAATCTATTATTGCTGAGGGGAAAAGGAAACATGGTTTAAGAATAGATTAATTGCTGCCCTTTGCATATACCCATTGAGGTTAGATGAATGTGCAAGTGCGGAGTGTGTCCGTTGCTTTGATGGGTAAGCTACTACTAGCTAGTAGTTAAGTTCTTGCCCGCATTTCCGGGTGGTTTTATTCGTCTGTTGGACTGGGATGTTGTTGTAGCTGCGCTTGCGGCTATAGCGGAGGAGGTGATACTGTTACTACGGAGTGCATGGGTATCTCTTTGATTTGATTGTTTCGGGGGGTGAAGTTGGTACTTATTATTATCATTATTATTATTCTGTCGTATTGGGATAGCACTTATTACATGGAAATAGACACTGCATGCATTACTGTCATAATGTAGATATCTCTACTCTGTACTCCGTACTATTTATCCATGCCACTGCATAATTTTCCTCACAGATACTCCCACTTCAGGGTCTACTAACAGCTCAGGTCCGACTCCATCAACCACCCCAATAGTACGTCAGGGTCATGACGACGACCTATCCGTTCATTCCATCAATCCCACTCCGTATTTTAGTATTCTTCCTCTACTACTTAATCCTTCAGCTTAACTACGGAGTCACACTAACTAACTAGATAGCACTAAGTAGCAGCAACACCACCCCCCTGGAACCAAGAAGTGGAACCCTCAAAAAACTGAACCACTAGAAGGAAAACTAAGTTAGCGCAAGCACAGTCTCGACGTTGAGATTCGAGCCCGAGTTCCACCATTTGATTGGATGTCGGAGGATCTCGGTGTGGGAGGTGAGTGGGTGATCGATGATCGACTTGGCCTGGTTAGGATTAGGGTACCCGCCTTGCCGGTCCGCCCGTGATCGGCAAGCAAAAACGCAGTTAACTAATCTGGGTTTTTTTTTTAAAAAAAATCGTAGGTTATAATAGGTTAGCTTCGTATTCTGTAACGCTACGCGGAGCTACTGCTTTTACTGAGGAAAGGATGGGGGTTTGGGTAATATGAGGTGTCATTTTTGGTAACCTGAATCGGATGGTATATGTATGGAATTAGATGATTTCAGTTTTGTTTTCTCATGTAAGAATCATCATTATAATGACGATGATGATTGTATTCCCAATTTGTCCATAGAAAGCGAGACAGCAAGCAAAAAGCGGCATCAATGCTCCCCGAGCGCAGAGACCCCCGAAAAAAATAAAAAACGCTAAGTAGATAGTTTACCTTGTTGATGGATAGACAGTCGACGACACACTTACCGCACACACTCACACAGACCACTTTCCCAATTCGAATTTGTGCGAAATCAGCCAAGGCACACACCATTGACAAGTATTTGTCAACTGGGTGGGTCCCTTCAGGTATACTCCGTATGACACTAAAAGTTTACTTTACACGGTAGTTAGTGTGTGGGTGGGTGTGGGTATGTAACATACCCTTGTATAGTGTGTATTAGCTTGTTTTGTTTTCCCCTTGGTAACCGCATACACAGATACAAGGGGGGCCAACCAAATACGCAATACGACCAGGGACAAGCGCCCAATGCACAAACCCCTTCTGCGTAAGGGGTTCCTGCTAAACCACGTGGAGATGCGCTTGTCAGATACAAGCCGTTGCGGGTGTATGGTTTTGTATTGTATTGAGACCACCACTTCTCTGCTTGTGTTTTGGTTCGTATTACAGTGTTTGTTTGTTATGTATGAGCGTAAGTCCCGTAATGGATGAACGAGGGGGCGAAGTAAGTAGCTAGCTCAGCTCCATCCACCATATCTCCATCTCATCCATGACTATATTCATGTCTCTCTAAGTAAGTTATGTGGTAAACTCAATCCGACCCCCTTTGTCTAGGGGCAAGGTCTCTTTCTGCTTACAGTGATGCTGTTGCTAACAACGGTTTTTGGCAGCGAGGCTGACGGACGGATTAGATCGGACTTATTGATTGAATGATTAGACCGAGTGCCTTGTCCGCTCTCATCCCCCTGTGCCACGCAGTCACTCCAGTCTTTCTCCTTGCTGGGACATAAATTTGAGTTTTAGTGTTTTTGCATTTTATGTTATTTGATTTAATTATGTACATACCTGCTGTAATGGGTTAGAGATGGCAGCTACGCCTCTTTTACATACATACACATTCCATTCCACGGGAAAAGTAAAGTAAAGTAGGACGTGTGTAACCTAAGCCACACGATCTGATCGATCGGAGGCGCCGACATACTCACTTACTAAGGTGAACTCTTTCAAACTAACTAACTAACTCATTGACTGACTAGTTGGTTTAGTTAGTTAGTTAGGTTAAGTATGGCATGTATGTATGCATGCACTTAGGCAGAGATTCTCATCCGTCTTCCTAAAGAGGATGTTTCATGACTCGCGTTTTTCAAATCATTAAAGGGGAAGGATAAACATCGGGAAGGAGGCAAATAGGGCAGGGGTATGTGTGTTTGTGTTTGTTGTTGTGTCTATTTTTTTGCTTTGTTTCGAAGTTCGACGGGGTGTTCTAGGGTGAGGGTGATCGTGTGTGGGATTGATTAATCGCTTGATGGGATATTATAGTATGGAGATAGGAGGATCATAATAGATGTGTTAAAAGTAGGGGGCGGGTTTCAGATATTTCTTGGATAGATAGTATCTATCTATCGTGTGTTTCTATTTGGCTGTCCAGTTACCCCTGACTAAACGGGCCTACGATAAAGGAATATTATGCATGATGTATCGGTATATGTAGATGTAGATAGATACGGAAGGAGGATAAGGATGACACCCGAATAGCACGACCTGTCTTGTCCTGTCTGCTGCCTGTCTGTCTCCAGATCATATGCACAAGGCTAACTAGCACTCAACCATCCCTGCCGGTATTATCCTCCACGCTTTCCCTGTATGTAGGATGGATTGTCTGACTCCGCTTAGTTTTACTCCACCACAGGATGGGGTCAACCCAGACTAGGAGATATTGGCTGCATGAGGAGCCACCGATAGTACGGAGGATAGTTGACCAACCAGTTGGCAGAGTTTTGGGGGCGCACGATCCAGCCTCGAGACGCGAAAAAGAGGAGAATTGATGCGAGAGTGGCTGCCAACTAGTACTCATTAGGGCATCAATTCAAGAGGGAGGGATTTCTGTACTACGACAGATCGTCGTGAGGGAACGAAGGAAGGAAGGAAGGAAGACGAACCGGGATCCTGGGTTCGCGTGACCCCTACTGCTGTAAGCCATCAGTTAAGTCAAAAGGGAAAAAAACAAAAAAGTCTATAGTGCCGTTAAGAACAATCCCTGTTTTTTCTGCTTTACTCTGTGATCGCTTTGTTCTCGATGATTATCGATCGCTGACCAAGCGTGGATGCCATGTGCGTGATGATGAAAAATAGAGATAGTGGTTAATTATTTTCCTTCTTTATATGATCTAGATTCAATGACTACGTTGGTCATCATGGATTGTGTCAAGACTTCAGCTGGGTACTCCTCTGCCATCCATTTACTAGTCTTACTTATGTAGGTAATAGACGAGCTAACCGAACCCAAAAATCTTTCTTGACTAGTGCCACTCGACTCATCCATGAAGACTCCGACTCAGACTCAGGTCGGGGTAGTTAGCTGCTGATTAGTGAGGCTGGCTAGCTGACATCACGACCAGCCTGTTTGACAGATAAACCAACTAGAACTAACGACGATAAACCCCGAAGGCGAGGAGAAAAGGTCCCCGATCCCGAGCCACGCAACCATCCCATCCCCATCCCCCATTCCCCATCCCTCCGCTAGCTAAACTAGTGGGGATTACCTGTTGAAGCCGCTTGCTTTTGCATCGAAGGATTGGAATGCTGGTCATTGTCATACATACGCCATCCTTGCTGCTCTTGAAGGAGAGGAGAAGGAGGAGGTAGGTGCTCATGCTGGCTCGACGGTCGTTGACTATCCCTGCACGCGGGTTGGAAACCGCACCTTTGCAGCAAGGTATGCGATTTGGAATTCTCCGTTGAGGGCTGCATGTGATGCCACCGGGTTCTTGTCCCACGCGGTGTTATCCATCTAGTGGTCGAGGGATGAAAGTACGGTTTTGGGGGTGGTGGATGGATGGTGCTGGATAGGTCAGAAGTGGCGAATGATGGGAGTTGGGTGTCTGAGAGGGAGAGGGGTGCTGATGCAGCCTTGTGATCAGTTAATGATGCTTATGCATGATTCAGTATTATGTAGTCACTGCTTGGAGTGAGTATAGGCGTTGATGTAGTCAATGAAGGGCTTGAATGATGTTGATATTGACTTCTATATAGTGAATTATGCTTCGCAGTGATAGATTGAGTCCGTATCAATTCTCAGCTCTGCTGCTTCTATTTCTTCTTCTCTTCTTACTCCCGTTGTATACTTTTATAGAGATACAAGCAAGTGCTGTCTCTCTTAAAGCGCTGATACTGAGTCCATCCTTTCGCCCATATGCCATTACAGGGCTATTCCCATTACCAATAATGTCATATAGCCTCTTTATATGTTAAATATTGCAGCTCCAAATATCTCTATAATTATAGCAGAACATTCATTCCATACTAAAGCTAGTTCTCAACATTGCAGACTCTAAAAGAGACGAACAATACCTGACCCTCTCCCCTCCCCGCCCCCAACCCATCAGCAACCTCTACACACCTTCAGAGTCTTCGAATCGTCGTTGGTCAAAGACATCAAAGAACATAGAAGACATGTTCAAACACGGTACTAGCGCCGATGCTTACACTAGGCCACAGAAGATGTCATGGCATTCTCTGGATATACCATACGACCCAGAGCAAAATCCTACCAAATCTGAGGATGCGTCTACCGTTGGAGGATAGCCACAAATACAGACACTGGGTCGGAATAGAAGCTGCTACGAGGTCTGCGACGGCTTACATACAAGGGCAATAGCACAATGTCTGATAACAACAACACCGTCTCTGGGGTTCACCGGGCTTTAAGCATCTGGTTTCATACATACCCGGAGGCGAGCGCCACTACAAAGCTCTTCTGAAAGAGCATGATGAGGATCAGTGGATTGTTTCATATATCGACGTGTGCCTCTAGACAAAGAGACCCATTCATTAAATGACGAGGGAAGCTATATCCGAATCGAAGTCCTTCTAATGTGTCGCAAGAACCTGGACCTTCCAGTAGAAATGGACACATTACTTCAGAAACTATTCGATGAGACATGCTAATACATAGCTCTATTCTACGATTCAGCGAACGCATCAGTCAGGATATACCACTTGGTTTTATCCTTTTACTTCCACTACCAGTATATCCTAGCAGCTAGCTCTGCGAGCACTGAGCGGGCAAGTTCTGTTCATCGTTTAACTCTTGTTCTGCAAATCTCGTTTGCAAACAACTCATGGCCAAATATTTATGGCCGCATATGCGCTTGAAGAGGTCTTATGGGTGAGCATACCGGGAACGCGCCTTGCTCATCTATACAGATAAAGGCCAGTCCGCACTGGCTATACATAAACTGCTAATGCATATCACAGCAACCATGTTCGACACTCATACCGGTCCTCTTACTCCACTCGGTTACTGTCCATCTCCCATGACAGCTGATCCTGCGCATGCACCGATACGGCCCAGTCTCCCTCTGTCCTACGCTGTCCACAGACACAGAACCCTAGCCCGGCTTAGGGTACACCTACGATGATCCACAATTGGAATATGAGGAACTTTGTGAGATACAAGGGAAGGAAGAAGGTCGTTCATGACCGTGCAAGCCTGGACATACTCGAGAGAACATTTTGTGTCGTTTCTGTGCCGAGAGGAACAAGACCTGTGATCCGGTGGGTTTCGCACGTTCCGTGTTATGTATGTGCGATTTACTGACATCTGTCGAGCCCGTGACTGGCCTCTTGGGAAACGCCCGCGATCTTGTCGAGATCATCGAGTGGTCCGCTGTCATCCTGGACGAAGATCACTGGAGTGCCCGTAAAGCAGACTATCCGGGAAGAGGTCCTCGTCCTTTCGAAAGCGTTTGATAGTGTGGAAGGCTACGCATGCCCGCGAGTTTTCGCTGAAGGGCACTAAGACCGCAAAGCGTGTAAGTTAAATCATATTGAAAAATGGCGCTGCCAAACATGAGGAGAAATTCCAGACATGGACAATTGCTGGAACTGGGCATCCTATCCACATTTTGAAGAGACTATGGTCTAGTGGGCCTAAGCTTTTCTATAATACTCCATACCACGGCAGAGACCTCCAGACGCATGCCTCGGGCCCTAAGCTACATCAATCGTTGATAACATTGTAGTAGCTCACCAGGTCATCGCGTGACTTGTTGAGTGCTCGACATCACGGGCTCTTTGCTGTTCTACGTCTAGTCCTAACATGACAGTTCGCTACCAGACGGCCTTTGCTATGGTTCTTATAACCTAATCTAGCTACTAGTCGAACCGGCCGACATATTTCTGCTTGAATTACAATAAACACTTTCCATCAACTTCAACGACTATATGGTACACATGATTGCGAACCACATGCAGTTGTGAACATATTTTAAGCACTTGAACCTTCGCTGGCGTTTATACATGCCATGGCTTTGCCAAGTGGACCAAAAAAAACTATCAGACTCCTCTGTGTTAGCATTTATTGGCTAACCCCTCATAGCAGTGGGTTTATCCTGCAGCTATTCCTTATGGGGGTTCCTAGAGAGGTTCAGGGGCCATTGGAAGAAAACAGAACTATTCTTTGAACCACGATTCTCTTAGCGATGATGTTGGTGACAAAAGATAGTGTATCTACGAATAACTACATAGCATACCTAGCGATGTCACCTGCGCTATGTGCTGCGATGCCCGCTGCGATATCTATATAGGATCATTTCGTTGCCTGAATTATCCCGTCACAACTGGAAGAAGTCTGCCAAAGACGAATTGATCGGATACCTGTCATGTCATATACACCCAGCAGCATTCCGAGACTTGTGATTTTCTCTACTATCAAGCCAGATCCGTCTTCGGCACATAGTAACAAGTCCAGTACTATGTTCTTGGGGTCCTTAACCATTGGTCTAGGGATGTCTACAACCGCGCCAAATATGTTTCCGGTGTTGATCATACAGCATCTAAAAGAGTCGTCGACTTTCCGACCATTCGTCTGCGTGACAAAATGGGCAGACTCGGCGGCCTGCAAGCTATGCAAAATGACCCATAACATGCTGCAAGGATATAAACATCCTGCGATAAGTCCACATCGTCAGGTACATGATGTACGTAGAAAACACGCGCAGTATCTTACCTAGAATAACAACATCATATTCTACATTTCAAGCCTGTCTCTCTCTCTCTCTCTCTCTCTCTCGGTGAAGTCCTATTGAATAGTGTATATGTGGAATCAGTACACACTCTTTCGAATGGAAGACAGAAAGAAAGAAAAAATATTATCTCGACGACAACTGATCTCCTTCTTATTATTACTTCGCAGCTGCCGGTGCTTGTCGTACATATCTATTCCCATGATTTCTCGACACGAAAAAATTGTTATCATGATGCCAATACATGACTCATGAGAATAAGGCAGAGCAAATGCTTTTTTCCTTTTGTTACGGACACACACACACACAATGCGAGACAGGTATCCACCATTAGAACGATGAGGTGATCAATGAGTGCATTGCTCCGGTGAGTCCTCTGCTTCCGTGTCATTCCAATACACCGTCGGCGGCATATCAAAATAACTTACTCATTTTATTATAAATTCTCTATCTAAAAACAGTACAAATAATAATAACTTGTTTAAAGACTACAACAGGCACAGCATGAAGCGAGAGGTGATAGCGGCTGCTAAAATTGGGGCATATCGCTGAGAGGGGTGGATTAATGGTGGCTGTGACCATAGTAGGGGGTGATGGGGAAATATATTAGATGAGGTATATTTGATTTTTGCGATATAAAATTTTTTCTTCGGTTGCAAGAAAAATAAAATGTTCGAAATTACCGAGTACCAATACTTTGGGAGATATTTCATTTACGATCCGCGTGGATACTAGTATATATTATGACCATGATGATAGCAGTAACAAAATCATGTACAGCGCCACATAACCAACCCAACCCAACCCAACCCAACTGCCCACATAGCATGACACAACTTAGAAAAAAAGATAGACACAATCAATCAATGAAAGCTTAATAGCACACACTAAACACATTCTCTGATAGATAAAAACTTCAAGGTCAAATATAAAAAAATTGCAAAAAGAAGTGACTAGACTGGGGCTCGATCCCAGGACCTTATGCGTGTGAAGCATACGTGATAACCAACTACACCATCCAGCCGACTTGTTGATGTTTGCATCCCCACCATGATACATAACTAGCCGATACTTATCCGGTCATATTATGCTTAGCCTGTACGGTCGTAAATGCACCATGACCTCTGTATTAATTGTTGTCTCTGTTATCCGTCTAAGCCATAGCCGTGAGAGGATAGAGAGAGCGCCTTTTTCTAACACTTCCACTGCTGCGCCCCAGTCACATGGACATGATTGCCATAAGGCTCGAAGCCAGCCGCGACTGGTGCCTGGCACAGCATGGAAACGAGGCTGTCTAGTAATCCCAACAAGACGACCATGAGATATAAATATGCATATAACTAGAGATCAGTTTTGCTTTCACGATCAGAAAACAGAATCTCTATTTATCTTTGTCTATCCCTGCAACGCAACTGCGACCATTTCTAGCTCGCTGACCCTACTGTGCGGAGTACAGTCTATTGTCTGGCATCGCAAGCATGGCAGAACAGTTCACCAGCCTTGTTAATACATTCGGAGGGCTGAGCGTTGCCGATAGATCAACTTCAAACCGCTCAAATCCGACTCAAGGTCTCCTGAAGACGATTGGGGACCTGGTAACATCGTGCCAATCCACCTCAGCGAACGCAGCACATGTCGGAACCGTGATCGAAGGCACACAGACCCCTAGCGGCGAGTACATTGCAAGATTAAGCTCCCTGAGAAGAGAAGCGGTTGCCCTTGCGAATATCACGGAGAAATTCAGCGATGCCACTAAAGATTACATCATGGCATACCTCATATCACTTGCTAGCCCGTGGACACTGGAGCCGAAAATGCTATCGCATTTTAGTGATGAAGTGAAGAGGATCGCTGGCAATATACTTGATGATGAAACTACCAACGAGAGCAGTGTCATGCGAAGAATATTGGAGGAGTGCTATGCTCAGGCTCTTTGTGATTCCGGGACTCTGCACCCTGATGAGTACTTTGAATTCCTAGAAGGAACCAGCTTTGAAGAGCCGTATGACCCTGACTTCGAAAGCGAGGAATACTATGAGCATGAAAATCGACTTGCTATCGACGATAGCTATGCTGAGGCCTATCGCGTGCAATGCGAGCGTAAAGCTGAGAGGAAGGAGCAGCAAAGGGAAGAGTGGATCGGCTTTTGGGTTCGCGCATTGAGTACATGTCCTGATGAGCCCACCACGCTATTTTATCCGCCAGCGAGTCGTTTCCCCAATTGCCATCTTGCAGAAATTCCGCGATACTTGTTTAGGGCATTTGACGGGGAAAGCTCTGGCCGGAGTGACCACCATGTTGTAGCTTCCGCCGAAAGCATTTCCGCAGAATCAGAGCGCAGCAGAACCGATATCCTCTCTCGGCCTCCAGGAGAATCAACCCGAATGCTATACAATCATCTGAAGTGGTTTAAATCTAAGGATGCTGACAATCTGATGTCATGGAGTGGTTCTTTACTGTATGTCATCCAGTACGCCATCTGGAGATGCAACAAATGGTGCCGTGACCCCGCTGAAGTCTACATACGCATAGTCGACACGAGGAAGTTTCCTCGTGGACAGTTCGCTCGGGACAAGTCGTTACTTCGAGTGTATCGTGATGCCCCTGAATCTGATCCGAGTATGCGAAGCTTTTTCGATTTCCGTTTAGGATACCCATACTATGACAATGGGGAGTATCTGTCGCAAGGGGTTCTGCATCATGCTGGGCGGTCTAGTGTGGTGTCGTTAAAACAGCTCATCCAGGCGGGGTTATATGATCTTTATCATGAATTTGCGGACGCTTCTGCGAGGTATTTATGGGCAAAACGTGTTAAGTCTCTTCGCTCAGCATGGTCCAAAGAGCATATGACAACCCAGCTCGACATACAATATGCAATTAATATGGCCAGAGAGTGCTTCAATGGTTTCGATGCGCTTGATATAGCACTAGTGCTATTAACTCTCAAAAAACGCAAGCTCCTCCCCATAGCAACAATGGGACCAGAGTGTCGAAGAATCTACTGTGACCTTGGCCCAGTTGAGGTTCAACGATATACCGACATAATGAAAAATATAATGGCAAAAAGCAGAGACATTCCGATTGCTTTATTTGCTTTCGCTACCGACCGTCAGCTTGAAGAAATTTTCGAATGTTCATAGTGAGATTTGTTTTTCATTTAGCGTTATTGTATGGTAGTCCTTTGGTTTATAGTCCAGGGCAAACTCAGAGCGCTGCTTTCAGATACCCTGTAGTAGCTTGCTATGCGAAAATATGAATATGACGATTGTATTGATGAGGAAGAAGAGGGCATCCCTCTGGTGTTGCATCAAGATACATGGATGTGGTTGAAACATACTAACTAGGCAGGTGAGAAGATATTAAGTAACCACCTGCCCATTGTCACATACCTCTTTGTAAAGAGCACGTGTTGATAGTTCGGTAGCTTCAGAGTGACCATGGAAGCCTACATGCGATGTACTTGCAAGACAGGACCGGCTATAAGGGCAGATGTCAACGAATGTTCGCTTAGAATAACGCTCGCACCTTCTGCTGTTTCACTAGAGCCGCAATGTCTTTGGGCTACGCAGAATACTTGTATTATTTAGAATATAGGATGGTGGAGTACGTGTAATTATCTAACAGGATATAGAGTTCATCATTTATGGCAGTAGTTAATGCTCTACTCATGATACTGCATATGCACAAGTCCTAATAACCAGCTGCAACTCTATCATGCATAAGGCTGACTACGAACAGCACCTTATCAATCCAATACAGAGAAGTAAATATAAATACGGCATATGAATCATATCCAAAGTCACCACTCGCTCTATCAATCGCTACTCCATAATACTCAACCCGACAGGTTCGGGGAGTCCCAGACATCATCGCAACCACAACGCCTACCCAAGATATCAATCACGGTCATAAACCCAAAACAAATGCCCGCCAAGCTGCTGATACACAATCATACAGCCTCCGGGATGTCATCATCATTGATCCATTCCTTAGACACACACACATCCAACGCCAGTATGCAAAGATTCCACGCACACAAGATCAAAATACCCAAACTTGACAAACCAAAAAGGGTCATATGCACAGACATAGACCTACATGCCGAGAATCAAGACAAATAATATAAATAAACATCACACCATGTCCAACAAGAAACAAAATCGCTCAAGGGGTATATTCTGATGCGCACATCATAACCAGATATCGCCTTCTTCGCCATTCACCCATCTTTGCCAAACTCGTTCGTAGGCGTCCTCAAGATCTCGAACCCATCGCTTCGTATCAAATAGCCTGCTGGACCACCGCTCCTCGAACAGCATCCGGCGCAGGTCGGCTAACCTGCCCGTCGCACGTCCCTGTCCTCCAGGCTGGTACTTCAGACTGTGACACAGGCGAATGGCCTTGTCCTCATAGTCTTCGTCCGACATAGCGATCAAATCCGACTGAGCCTCGCGGCCTGCGTCAGACTTCGGCAGAGCACTGCTCAGAATGCTGCTTGCCATACGCGAGCACATCTTGTATTTGTACCGAGGAAGTGTCAAGAGGGGCGTGCCGCTCCACAACACATCGGTCGCTGTTGTATGAGCATTGCATTCAGGCGTGTCGAGGAACAGATCCAGGATCTTTGCTCGCGAGATGTGCGTATTCTTGGGCGCAACGTCGGTGAAGATGATCCGAGATGCCGTTTCTTCCCCGGCCCAGGCAACGGCTGTCTCCCGAAGGTTCTGTTCGCCGAGGTCGGGAAAGCGGAGGAGCCAGAGGACGGCATTAGGAATTCGTGCCAAGATGCGTAGCCATGTGCGGAAAGTCGTGGGTTCAATCTGACAAACTGTTAGTACGGGCTGAACTATCCTCCTGTGCTGCACCTACCTTGTACAACTGGTTGAAGTTCCCAAGTATGATGGTGTCATCACTAAGATTCGGAAACAACTCCTTACGCATGCGCCACCGTCGGGTCTGCTCTTGATCCCAAGCAAGGCGGGGATCTTGAGCATCGGGAGCGCTTTGCCGATGATCACAGCAGAAGAAGGTGTCGCGGGTATAGACAATCTTCTCACCGTACACCCAGTTCTCAAGATCCTCACCGTGGTCTTCCTCCAGTAGCCGGTCCTCCATCCGTACGTTGCGCCGCCCGGGTGAGAGGGTCTCAGGAGGAATAGAAAGTTCATCCGCAAGGATGTAGTCACACCATTCCGCCCCAAGAGTCCCTGCAAAGCCCATGAAAGACATGTGAATTGGAGCGGGCCTAGCAGCAAAGACCTCATTCCGGGCACCGCGGGTGTATCCATTCAGGTTGATGAGGATATGGATTCCGTCTTCAACGATCTGCCTGACAAGTCGATCGACGGGCCATCCACTAGCATCGTGAAAGACCGGTGCTTCTTTCTCGATTTGCTGCCGATGGATCGACTTGTCGCTCACAGTCGTAGCGTAGCAGTATGCCTTCACCCGCGAAGGATTGTGCAATCCAAAGACGGACTGCATCAGATGGGCAAGCGGGTGGTTGTTGAAGTCTGATGATACATACCCTACCTTGATGTAAGGGTGCGGAGGGGGAGGCGGAGGGAAAACAGTAGCAGGCAGCCACGGCGAACGCAAGGTGGAACAAGAGATACGAAGCCCATTCCGCTGCGAGATTTGCCGAATTTGCTTCGCTGACAGCGGGCAGGTGAAGGTATGGAAAGGCAGGACTGTCGGTGCATTTGGCGCCGTCAGGCCAGAGGGAAGCTGTGGACGCCGATATTTGGTCAGAGGGTATTCCTTGCCATAAACGTACCGATCCTGATACCACTGCCAGGTAATCGCCCTGATGGCACGCTCCACGATCCTGACAATCCTAGAGCCCTCCCACCGCTGACCTGACCACGACTGCAGGATCTTAGCTAGAGTGCCAAAAGCGACATGGCCGCGCGAACCGGCCGCGGGAGCCAGTTGCGCGCACAGCTGCTCGATCACGTTGGAAGTAAGCAAACCACGACCCCAAGCTTCCCCTTCTTTGAGTTGGCGGTCAACGATTTCAACAACTCGTTTGATCCAGCCAGTCCCGGTTTCAATAGTGTATGCGTCGCGGATCATACCCTGTTCATCGACATGCCACCGGTCTCGGAATCCATAGCCGTTGCCAATGCCACCGCGGCCAACCCAATTGCACACAGAATTCAGGGCGTTGGCTAGGCCACACACCGCCTCGGCGAATTCAGGATTCACCTTGACGGCACGCTTGTAGTAAACGATAGCATCGTTGACGCGGCCGGCATCTTTGACTGCGTTCGCCAGATTCGCCAGCGCAATGTCAAAGTTACTATCGCAATGAACAGCTTGTTCGTACATTCGGATAGCCGCTTGCAACTGGCCAATATCCTTGAGAAGGCTTCCGAGATTTGTGTAAAGATGGGCATGTCGCGAATCAAGGTGTAGACCGTAGTTGTAATAAGCGAGAGCCAACGATATTCCCGTACCGGGCACCACACCAGGTATTTCGGGATGCTGCATCTCTCCGCTTGGACGGGGGAGAACTTTCTTGGGCGCATTGTTTTGGATGCCAGCCAGCAAAATACCAACATTATTTGCGGTGGACGGACTTGGCTGAAGAGAAAGAGAAAGATAATAAAGTGCCAGAATATCGCGAACGCCTGGAGCAGCTCTGGGAACACCGGAGCTAGAAATATTAGACATGCCGTCTTGATATATCTTAGCTAGAGAGAGCAACGAATTGCTGGTAGTGGAGATGGCGGCCTTTCGTGCCAGACCTTCTGGCACATATTTGATCCCCGGGGGTGTTCCGCAGGGAGCAAAGACCAGCTTTGCGGTCTGCAGAGCATGGTCTGGATACAGGAGAATGGTCTCCTGCTGCCCACGCTGCTCTGGGCCGGGGTAACCGTGATGCGTACCCTGCGTGAAGGCCGAGAATATCTGTTTGATCAGGCTTTGGATCCCATGGCGCCTTCTTCCAGCTGCAATCAGAATCGCATCCTCAAAGGCCACGGCAGCTGCAGCATTGTCGCCCAGAGCATATAGCATGTTTCCCTTGGCGTGGACGAGAGCCAGCATTCTGCCATTATCACAGCCAGGTATGGCGTAGCCGCTGGAACCAAATCCAGCTGACCCAACATCTGCCGAGCCCCGATTTGCGGCAACCGACCTACCAAAGTCGTCATCGTAATCAAAGGACGCTTTCTCGTAGGAACCCAGATCGGACGCACTCGACGCTCTGCTCTCCGCATCGCTCTCGGGTTCACTCGCGTGTTCGTCGGACGCGAAACAATCGCCGTTCTTAGGGGAGCGTATGGAATTCTGTACGAACTCAATGATGTTGACTGCTTCCTTGCCGCGTTGGCTGCTGCACAAAAGACCGATCAGGTGTTCTACCGCTTCAAAGAAACTCGGGCGGAGCTTGACGGCACGAAGCCAATGTTGCAGCGCCTCTTCTCGGCGATCCAGCGCCAGGAGCGTGGCCGCAAGGTTGGATATCGCCTCCACATGCCTGTGCTTGGTTAGACAACTCAGCTACTTACAGACAATCGCATACTCACGTTGCATCTCGAGCGATGATTCTAGTATACCAACGCATGGCCTTATGATAATCCCCAAGCCCATAAGCGAGACAGCCTCCAAGAAGCATGCCATCAATCCACTCCCAACCACTTTCCGCACAGAGATGGGATAACATTTCCAAAGATGATACAGCATTCGCTGTGATAGAACCCTCGTTCAACGGTGCGGCACCGAAACGAGCCGTTGCCGTCGATGCAGTAAACCGTCCAGTGTGGCGGAGCCGGTCGAGCATCTGTACATCGGTTGCAGCTTGCGGGAACTGAGACAGTGAAGCACGTTCATACCGACGGCCAGTTTGAAAGCTGGCAGTATCGTTCTGGCCTATGTTGCCAATGGTGTTGTTCCTCTGAATATGGTCATACTGGCCCGTAGTGTAGTTATTGTGACGACTCGACTCAAGAGCATTGGTGCTGGAAAAATCCAGACCAGGCTGACGCGGTGGTTTCGGGTATATACTTGGTTTCAAGAATCGCTGACTCTGTCCCTCAGCAGCCGCATTCGAGATACTATTCCGTCGTGCTTGGTGAATCGATGCCAGTAGGTCAACGTAAACACCATGAGCCCATGTCAGCACCTTCTCCTTAAACTCCACATTTGTTGCCTGTGGGCTTGCGGTAGAGCCCAGTTGGGGCCCTTGAGTACTTGGAGGGCCCGACCAAGACGGACCTGTCTCGTGAGCCGGTTGATGCGAGAAGCCAGGGGTAGGATTAGGTTGGCGCGTATGATACGGCAATGTGCGCTGGCCGCCTGAAAGACCAGCAACTTTGTGCTCCGAATGACGCCGAGGAAAGTTGTTTTTCATGGACAACTCAGAGTTGACCATTCCAGCAGGGGCCTGATTCCACGCCAGGCCCGGGTCGGGATGACTTCCCGAGGATATAGCGCCCCGGCTGAAGGCCTGTTGGCCTGCGTCGAATAATTGAAGGGCGGGTGGGTTCGTCGCCTTTGCAAAAGGAGTGGGCGAGTCGAACCGGGCATCTCGAAACGCCGCTGGGCGATACGGAATATACACACCATCAGGCCAATATGGACCGTATGGTCCTGTTCCTGCCGATGCGGTGGGACCGACACAGGGCTGAAGTGTCGCTGGTAGAACCGTGGGAACATAGGCGCCATTGTGCCAATAAAATCGCTGCTGCGAAGGCTGCATTGGAAGTGATTGATTCAGCATGGAGTCCATTCCCGGAACATAGTTCAATGAACGAACCCAACTGGTGCCATTCACTCCTTGTGTCAACTCTGTTGGGCCTGCATTAGTTCGGCTCGAATCATTTCGATATACCGGCGGGAAATTCAGGTGCTTTCCGGCCGAAGACTGATCCAGATTGGCCTGTTGCCAAGTCTCCATTGGGAATCCTGTATGAGGCGGTACCAGGTGGCCCGAATCGATCGGCGAGACCAAGAGGTGCTTGCTCGCGGGCTGAAGGGTAGTATCCCCTGGTGTGCCATCATACCCAGCCGCCAGTGTCCCGTTCGGTGTTTTCCTTCGTAATGCGTGCTCGCCAGCACTCTTCGGACTAGGTACCAGACCCGTGGCATCGGGTACCTCGAGGCGTTGTATAGGATGCGGATATTGCAGCCGAGATCGAGCTACGGACTGGAACGAGCCTTTGCCGAAATCGCTGCGGGGGAGTGACGTGAGAAATGATGTATTGCGGTCGTAAGGTCCATTTGTAGCGTCGGCACCGTGCCGATAATTAAGGTGGTGCGGCTGGACTGGCGGGAACGGTGCTACTGAGGGCAACATCTTGACCTCAATCAGTGTGAGCACCGTCTTCTTCCGCCGTAATTATATAAATATATGCAAGATCAAGGTCGAAAGTCGGAGAAAGAGAGGAGAGAAGAAAGAAAGAGAGTGTGAGAGAGAGGGAGAGAGGGGGAGACCGCGACGGAGACGTATAGGGACTCAGATTGTCGAGTAAAGGGAAAAGCAATGCAGGGATCTCGTCGAGGCGGTTCGGGGCGATCGAAATCAGACAGCGATGGTCGACGGGGTTATCACTCTCGATGTATTATCAACAAGCATCCTCCTTGAAACGTTTCCTACACCTCATCCTGGGCATGAGCCGGCTCAGTTGACACTCAGCGAAGGCGCCCACCGCTTGACCCTGGGCTCGACATGAACGCTGATTGTGGCCGGCAATGACAGAAGACGCAAGTGCGGGAGCGGCGAAAGTGATGAAGGAGGAGGAAGAGGAGGAAAGGAAATCGAATGGAGGCTGAGTCCGGGGCGAAGATACCATTCACGAAGCCGCTGGATTCCAGAAGATCAAAGAGACACGCAGGCGATCCGCTCCGACAACGCTATTTGCTGCGTGAGAGACAGGTGGGTGAAGAAACGATGCAAGGGAGGGAAAGGGATCGATGAGAGAGAATCACAGCCCTAGTCAGCTTGCTAGAGCGCCCACACTGACGCAGGTGTCCGCACGACGCGATCAACCACTAGGCAATCCTGCGCTTGGCAGAAATGCTGTACTTTGGGGGGGTGGTGTGAGTGGAGTGCGAAAGAGGGGGAAAGGGAAAATGGGAAAAAGAGAGTGACCGGCAGGTAGGCTGACCGAACAAACGGATGTTTAGTTGAAGGATAGGATAATGGCTAACGCAAGTGTGGTAGGGAAAGAATAGGAAGAATTGGCAAGATGAATAGAGAGGGAGGATTAAAGAGCCCGGGGACCCAGATCTGCCCCGATGTCACGACCGACGAAATCCGAATCAGGGAAACGATAGTGTAGGGGAGAGGTTGAACATGGCACCACTAGCTGATGGCAATCACAACAACTTTAGTGTGTCGGGATGTTTCTCTGTCCTCTTGTCTTTTGATATGGGAAAGAGAAAAAAAATTAATGATTTTTTGTTTTTCTTTTTCTCTTTTCTTTTTTTCTTTTCGTGTTCGTCTTTTGACGATCTCTTTTTTCCCTCACAGGATGGGGAAGAGCTGATTGGACCGAAGTACTCCAAACTGTGATGCCTCAGATCCAAGGCACCGCAGGGCTGGCTGTTCAAAGCGGAGAAGATTCAACGGCGGGCGGAGAGGTCAAAAATCAGCAGGGGAATAATATGAGAAACAGGCGCAAGGAAACGCTGATGATTCCCCGAAGAGATTGAGAAGAAAAAAATAGTTGAGTCCGGGGTAGGACTGGCCAAGACCGTGAAGAAAGAAAGAGAGAAACAGAGGTATGCGACCAACGGGAGGGAAAATAGAAGAAAAGGATAAAAAAAATTCGATAAGGAATTCCGATTGAGGTGGAAGAAGATGGAATTGAAGCCTTGAAGAGGAAAAATAAAAAATCAAAAAAATCAAAAAGGCCAACTACTCTACTTACTTGCACAGAAGATATCCATACGGGCACTGAGCTACTACGAACTAACTCACTAATGTAGCAGACAAAGAGTCATCGACGAGCCAGAGTCTCCATCAAGCGGGACGCGCATCATGACAGAGCGGAGCTTCCTAAACGCAAGCAGTGGGCGGCGGCAGCCTATAGCTCCCGTTTTGTTTTAGGGTGGTTCCTTTTTTGGGGTGGGGGGAAGGCAGCCTGAGTGGGTTCTGAGGATGGACCAGCGGGAGTGGAGCCAATAGGCGCTGGCCTGGACCAGGGTGGAGTGGAGAGGAGGTTACTGAGTTGGGACGCGGGTGGGTTTGGGCGTCCAGGTTGATTACCTGGTGGTGGCTTGGGACCAAATGAGAAGAGAGGAAGGGGGGGAAAGGGAAATGAAAAGCAGAAAAAAAAATATGAAATTCACAAGGAAAAGGAAAACCTCATATATCATGTAGAAATAACGAAGAGAAGAAAAAAATAAAATAGAAAGGTGCATGCACATAAGTATAAACGCCATAATCTGTGCAAATTGATTTACTCTGAGCGGATACTACTACGGTGTACTTACTATCTTACTCATTGATGACCCCTCTGTAGGTACAGTACCAAATTAATGCGGAAAATTTGGTAAGTGGCACAAAGGTATAACACGCGGTGGCTTGAAAGGGATGTGTTGCCTCAAAACGCAGATATGCGACCGATCCAAGGGAGAAGCAAGCAAATCCTCCCAAATCCTCAACCTAAATAATTATAATACCTAGAGAATCTTTCTTCTTCCCTTTCCCTCACACCCCCCACCTGAAAACCGCGAAACAAGGGAAACACGAACATCCATCACATTTCAGTCCCACCCGAGGATACTACGATCCAACGGCCAGGATGGACCGGCGCTAGCCACTTGGGCGCAGGCAACGAATCCAGGCCTGTCTAACGTCAGTGGACCAGCAGCCATGGCCCCCCCGGTCGCAAGTGGCGCCCGCAGTGGTCAAGCCTTGGGGCCTTGGGGGCCTCTTGGAAGTTGGAGTTTGGGAGGGTTTGTTTGGTGAGCGCGGAAGGGCGATCTGGCACCTTCGGTGGGTTCGAGTGGAGTCCGTCAAGGATTGGCCTGCGAGCTGGCCTTGGATGGGTGGAATGAAATTAGAAAAGGTGGGTTTCATAATTTTGAGATTTAAATGAAAATTCAATCAATATTGTGAATATCTTATAAGTATCATATTACTACTTTGTATATCCCGGAGTATATATAGTATATAAAGGAGAGTTTTATTGGGATGTTATATCGATATTGATTTCGTAACCCATTCTACTTAGCAGTGCCGATTAATATGTAGGGATATTATCTTAGAAGACTTGTCAATTAGTAGTAGTCAAATAGGAGAGTTTCGCAAGGAAAAGAAGCAAGATTGAATTAGCAGTATCCATCCGATGTACTAGTAAGTAGTAGTAGTAGTAAAAGTCGTATACTAGTATGCGTATACATCGCCGCGAGGCTGAGACACCTGGCCACAAGCCCAAGGCCAGCATCATTCTGCAGCCCTGGAGGCATCCAGAGGCTGAAAAGAAAATCCCAACCTTAGACGCATGCCGCGTCCGATCAGGTGGAAAAGATGGCCGAATCATTGCCATAGGATAGATATCTCAGGTATGTCAATATGTATGAGAAGTATGCACTATGTGGTACAGAGTGCGGTGTTGTTATAAAGGAGATGATTGTCGACGGATTTCTGATAGGCCGCCTTCCCTCTTGTGACAGCAACTGCTGAGCGTTTTCTGTCGCTTTGATCCGTGCCTAAATGTAATTACTAGCCAATCCATATTTCCCCTACACACCATACATCAGAAGTTATCGCGGATATGATTTGAAGATGTCAGATATTCATGTCATTCATCAGGCCTCCCCTTCCCCATTCTGGAACCAACAACATGCTGCATTATTATTATTATACTTTCGAAATTCCACCCTTCTCCCCTTTCTCCCCAAATTTATTCTTTCCCCCGGGCGTAACTCAAAATCTAGGTCTCGGGAATGGATGAGGGATCCATGAAACCTACCTTAGTTTCAAGCACCCCGTTTCCTGTATCCCATCCACTCAGACAAGACCATTCCAGCCATCGTCTTTGACCACAGATCTAAGTGTTACCAGAGTTTCCAAGTTTTCACCCTTCCCTTCCTCTCTGTGCTATCCCAACGGTACGGTCATCTCCGTCGTCCAGACTGGACACAGTAATAGAAAACAATGTAAAAAGCAGATACTTTTTTAGTAAGTAGGGACGGGGATCAACGAGGGGCAGCGGGACCGGGGCCGCCCTGGAAGTCCCAAAAAGATTTAATTTAATTGTAATAATAAAAGAAGAGTAGGCTGTGATAATCCATGGGCCATGTCACGAGCGGTCTGGCGATGAGGATCGGCAAACTTTGCTGCGCTGTGGCTCTTCCTGCCTCTCCACTCCCGTAGGCGCTTAGAAGAGGGGGGGTTTCTGGTCTGTCTAGAGGATAGTTGTACAGTAAGTAGTAGTAGTAGTAGTAGTAGTAGTAGTAGTCTAGACTAACTAGCTAGGAGGAAGGAGAGGAGAGAAAAGGAGGGAGAAAGAGAAATTGAACTGGCCAAAGTCAAATCCATTTATCTTCTTCGTCTCGTGGCCGTTGTTTTAATAATAACTAAATCTCTTTCGCTATAGATACTTAGGAGGTATTCTCGGTTAGTTGCTAGTTAAGTTAGCATTATACATAGCCAAATCCATCCATTCGTATGGAGGCGGAATCGAACACATCCACCACCCACCCCCATCAATCCTCCCGCCATGTTTCACTTCTCCCAAAAGGACACAGCATTTTTACTTCATTCCATCATGCTGAGCTGGCCACAAAAGTAAAATAAAAAAAAAGACTGATGATGATCACGGCCTGAACCTGACTGCCTGGCTGGCTGACTCAGCCAAGATTGTGAGTCACGAGAAAAAAAGATAACTTTCCATTCCATCAACTCAACTAAAGTGGGATGGATGCAGTCTTATGCATGTCGGTGCGCCTGTCTGTGCCTATCACAACAACAACTTGCATTCTGAGTCGCAGTCATCGCCCCTTCTGATGGAGACACTTACTTGCCCCATCGTGGACTACCTCTCTTTTCATTTTCATTATCCACTCACTGCCTCACTCATTCGTTTGTTCATTCTTTGATCATCTTCTCTTTCTGCCTACGGACGGAGTACCGTTACCCGGGATCGGTTTTCGTTAAGGGGGGGGGGGAGAGGAGGGCCCAGGCGGCACCTGCAGCTCCGGGCGCGTATCAGGAACGCCGCCAATTGAACCATCCCAGTAGTTGGTGGCACTGTACTTAAAAGTCCCCGGTGAGTGGGGAAAGCTCATGGAATCTTCGGGCTCTCGGTGTGTCCGGGCGCGGCCCCATCCGATTCCCAGCCTACGTAGATGGTTGCTGCTGTTGCTGTTTGGCGACTGTCGATGCTTCACCACAATGGTATGCACGGAGTGGACTATTAGATGGGGCGTAGGTATCCATCCGTCAGGCGCGAGACGGCAATAGTTGTGGCTAGTATGTGCATGGGAGGTGCCGATCGTCCAGTCGGTAGTACTTGTGAATCGATATATTCACGCGGTCTTGATGGATTTGAAGGAATTGCCGAGGCATAGTGGCTATACGAAACTTGAAGGATGGGAAAGGAGTAAATTGCATTGTTTGAATTGAATGGATTGTCTACGATCGTCAGACATGTGAAAAATGTCTGGGTCTAAATTGGTGATTTTGACCGTTAAATGGACCACTGTATCCACAGAAAGAAGCACGAGGCTCCCCTCGAAGATACCGCGGTGAGTAGCAGGTCGGTTTGCTCTTCTTTGCTTAAAATAAGCCTATACCACGTTGTGATATGACAATTCCAGGCCCGAAGGCGGGAAAAGACGGTAAGGGCCAGAGTGTTGCAAAGGTCATCTGGGGTGGGACTCATTATGATCCAGCTTGCATAGATAGCAAGTAAACCATATGTGAGACGGGAGGAAGAGAAAAGGGGCATCTCAACGGAGACGTCGAGTGAAAACACTTATCGAATTCGAAAGAACAGAAATGGGGAATCTAAAGTCATGTCTCATAAAACATTTTTGTTTCGAATAAGATGATCATATTCCGTAACTAGCATGCCGGTAAGAAACCACGACCGCCGCGAATTTGAATCATTTACTCGGAGGGGACTGCAGGACAGTTAGTGCCGAAGTCTCAGATGATATGGTATATGGGTTGACATACTGTCGATCTCGCCAGCCTTGACGTCGTCGGAGACGTCCTTGGGGCTGCGGCCATCGACCTGGCAACCGACAGAGAAAGCGGTACCGAGGATCTCAAGGACGGTACCCTTGAGCTCCTTAGCAAGAGAGCGGTGGCGCATCTTGCGGGCGATCTCGATGATCTCGTCCAGAGGGATGGACTTGCTGTGCTTGATGTTCTTCTCCTTCTTGCGGTCACGGGGAGGCTCCTTGAGGGCCTTGATGACCAGGGAAGAGGCGGAGGGAACAACGGAGACCGCGGCCTGACGGTTCTGGATGGTCAGGCGGACGGTGACACGGAGACCCTTCTATAATACCCAAAAAGATGTCGTTAGCACTGTAACCTCCTATGCTTGATCCGGACGCTGCGCTTACCCAGTCACCAGTGTTCTTGGCGATATCTTCACCGATCTTCTTGGGGGACAGACCGAGAGGACCAATCTTGGGAGCCAGAGCAGACTGGGCACCGACCTCACCACCAGTCACTCTCAGGTGGCTAAAAGAATCGTTAGCACCTCCGTCAAAATAATGCGCCGAGTAATAAAAACCCCAGGATATGCAAACTTACATGATCTTCACCTCATTGGGGTCGAACTTGGGAGCTGCCCAATGGGATACATATTAGTTCGCCTATTCGATTTCACCAAGGAGATGATACTTACGCATGGCGAGTGCGAAAGGTCGTCAATCGTCCTTGGAAGGTGTCGGGATGGTTGGTACGAAGAAGGAAAGAAAAATGCTGTTGAGGCCGGAAGGTTATTTAGCTGCCGTTGCGCCTGCGCTAAGCGAGACCCAGAAGCGGTAAGTCTGGTAGGGCTCAACCCATGACTATCACGTGATTAAACAGGGACAATACTTGTCTTCCCGAAGCGGTAACTACTAACTACTACCAGATACGTAGCACTAAATATCAACATGATGCTAAATGATCCACTTCTTGATCCACTCATATTACGATATTTTGTTTGTATTCAATTGGTGAATCTAGGTAGTTGCTATATTCCAGGGTAACGAACAAAAATCAATAACCGCTAAAGATACAAACGACCCGAGGACTGGCGCAAACCGCCCCTTGCTCTCGTCATGGCCATTACCTCGTCAAATCTAGCTGGTTCCGGAAACAGCAAGCCTAGGGCACAGGGTTAGCAACGGCCTTGATCTCCGGGTTGATCAAGAAATGACTTACTTCATGAGGTGGTCCATGAAAGTCTGCAACGAGACATCATCAGTGAAGATGGTCTGCGACGTCACACCTCCGCCGTATCCTCCTGTCGTGTGAGTGGTAGATGGGTTCAGCTTGGACAAAAGGAAACGAGCCTGGGAGCCACCAGCATCGCAAACGATGAAACGGGGCAGTGGGAAACGGTCGGAAATCAATTCCTGTGTAGACTAGTTAGCGTGTATCTCGACAAGTTCGATATTGCATGGAACGAACCCTAGCGTCTTCCTTTGGTTGCTCAAGGAGCACCTTCAGGTTCTCGTAGCCCTCCTGATCCTGGTAACCAGCCTTCCTCCATTCCGCGATAGTCTCGCCGTGGAAGATCAGAATGTGGAAGAAAGTGTCCAGAAGAAGGATGTGAGCGGGCTGGATAGAAGCCGAATCTAAGAGCACAGGCTGGCTTCCTTCGTGTTCAAGGGAGTAGGAATCCAAAGTTGGCTGAATCATAACAAGAGAGTCGCCAACATCTTCGTGGTTAAGCACATGCCGGTAGAAAGCAGTCTCGTCAGGCGAGTTGTTGAATACCTGCAAGAACTGGCTTCGGCGCAGATGGAACATAAATTGAGGGTAGAGAGTGAAGTTCTTCTCCAAGCGGAAAGACGTCGGGTCATCTTTCCGGTAGTCGGCGAAACGAGAGCAAAGTCTGATGAGCATCCGGTCAACCCATCTGAGCACATCAGGACCATCGTCAACCTCAGCCTTGAACACGGCGATGCGGGCCATCAACACGGCAGCTGCTTCCTGGTCGAAAGACTGCGCCAGGGTAGGGTCACCGGCAGGACCGCTGAGCGGCCGCGCGACCGTCGTGACGCGAAGGTGGTAGTGACCCGACGAGTGCTGGTAGTATGTGAGGAATTGCATCATTCCTCTTTGAGGGCCTGGTTGCACTGCTGCAGGTCCACCCTGGTTTGCTATTTCGAAGTAGACGCCGTAACTCGAGGCAGGGTCAATTCCACACATCTTCCATGCGCAAGTGTTACCGATACCACATTCCGTTTCCCCGACAGAGCTCGACTTCTTGTTCAGGGAAACAGCATGACCGATAAGACCGGTGACCTTGAGCTCCTTGGTAGTCAGCACCTCAAGAGATGCGTTGAAGCCCATGAGCAGGTTATCGTTGGCATCCTTGTCGAATATCCTAACGAAGGACTGTTTGAATTGTGAGGAGGTGAAGCTGTCTGTGAGAAGAATATGTCCGCCGGTGTAGTTGGCAAGGTTCTTCATCTCCAGCATACCGACCTGATCGAGGCAGCCGGCAAAGACATCAACAATATGTCCGTTATTGGCAGCACGCTTAGCCATGTTGTCATAGAACTGAATACATTATTAATACTGTGAAAGAATCCAAGGGATGTCGGATCAGCACGCACCTTAACGGCCTTCTTGTAATATTTGATGTTATCGCGGTCAATATCGTGGTGTGAACGAATGGGTTCCTTCAGCTCAGGACCGACGACGTGACCGGGACCCTCAGTGGCCGGTCCGCTGGTGAAGACCATAATGCGGCCACCAGCATTCTGGAAGGAGGTCTCGAGCAGACCCACGGCGACGCTGAGAGCAACACCAGTGCATCTGAGAGGTCGCTTGTCGTTGGCAACAGGCCACGGGTCACGTTGGAGCTGTTCGAGCACGTTGGTGATCTGGAACTCGGCCTGCTGAACGGGAAGGAGGAAGCGTGCCGCAGGGCCAAGCGGGGGACGCGCGGGTTGCTGGGGCATGTTCGGGCGAACTCCGGAAGCAAGACCAAGCATCTCCTGGACCTGCTTTGCGGCGTATTCCTTGCTGCCGCGGAACACATAGGACTTGGCGCACTCGGTGTAGCCGAGCTCATGTACTTGTGCCTGTAGTTCACGGTCAACAACACACCCTAACATGAACCAAATGTAGATAGATAGTTGTATATCCCTACCATTGTACCGTATGTGATCAGACCAACCAACGCATTCACAGGCAGCAATGACAGACTCATGATCAGAGAGTCCTTCAGGGCCTTCAGACTGTCATCGTCCTGGCAGGTATCGACAACATAGACGAAGATAGGGGGAGCAGGGGCGGGGCGTGCCAATTGGTACTCGATTGTCGTGCTCATGGGGTGAAGCTCTGGGGGTATCGTGCTCTCCGTGATATCCTTGTAATGAGGGGGCAGGGGGTTGCGCATAAGGCAGAAGGGGCATATCCAGATGCGGGCCCGAACATCAACGTTGCTATGCGATGTCAGCCAAGTCGTTCATATTGCCATGCCTGCTAGCAGTTGAGAGGAAGCCATACGCATAAGGATTCAGCACCGCCCGACAAGGCGCCTTGCAAGTGACGGGCTCATATTGTAGCAACGGAGAGTCTGGCTTCTCCTTGAGGGGTGTGTAGACGGCACCGATGGGGACAACAAGGCGGGATGCTTCCTGTCAAAGCACAAGTTAGCAGATATGGGCAGGAGGGTCCCATAGAGCAGACGAACCATGCGAGAACTCGGAAACGTGTTCCAGCTGAGTCTGATGCCATCGCGATCCTCGACATCACTCCATTGGTCCTTCAACGCTTCGTAGTCCATGTTGGCGGCCTGGGGAGGAACGGGGATTCCGTAACTGGAAGATAACGAGGGGAGATCTAATCGGGCAGGAACAGGGCCAGAAATAACAAATATAAACAACGCAGACCGGTTTGCAGGAGGTCCCTCCTATATCACAACCCAGTCACGGAATGGGCAACGCCAGCAGCTGTTGTCCGGAGACTATGCGGGGATCAGGAGACTGTTGTGTGAAGCGGCACCTGTTGCCATAAGGCCAGGTTGCAGCATCACTGGTCGCTGCGGGCACCCGTACACCGCGCTAGTGCGCTTTAAAAACCCGCTCATCTTCCCTCCACAACAGTTTTTCTTTCTTTTTCTTTCCAAATATTCTTCACAACGCCGACTCCTTTCCTTTTCTATGGCAGCTTCCATCCACTCAGTTGGTGATTTTGTCTAAAGTGTCGAGCGAAGAGTAAATTAGACCCGTTGCTGGGCACCTGGCTTTGAAAGGACGTTTTGTTCCTTTTGGATAATTTGGGAATCAGCTGTGGTCACATGCCCTTTTATTAATCACCGTTACTGTGGTAGATTTACGCGTAAAAAGAGCCATCGATGTGCGCTCCGAATTAATTGTCTCGGTGCATTCCATGCTCTTAAATTTACATAAACTATCTACCTCAAAATGGGACCAAACGCATTCTCCCATTTCCAAAAGAAAAAAGCCTGACCCGGAACGCCCGTATGGTGGAATATTCGCAAACCGACAGCCAAAATGCAAGAGAGGAACGTGGCTTCGTGGACCTATCACAATGACGTTAGGCATCCTTGGGTGCCTTTCCCATTTGCTTCAAGAGAAAGCTGCGCTTGAAGTAGGTATTGGGGTGCACGATGGTGTCGAGGTCAGTTTGGTTCCATGTACCGTCTTCCTTGACTCTCTTAATATCTGCTTTGTGGGTATGTTCGAAGACCCTGTTGCAAGCGATATGGAACCGCATTTTCTCGACATCCTCTCGCACACCACGTAGGACGTCCCTGTCATTGACTCCTGTAGACTGAAGAAGACCGATCAAATTGTCGACAGAGAAGTGGCGGTACGGGCAGCCATGGGTCTGTCCAACTCCCGGGTTTGAATCACCCAGGATCTTTTGGCAGGAGTACGGAGGGTATCCCCGGCCTCTGCGGTTCTGATCACCACCAACATCACCGTAAGCGTGGCGGATATTGTACTTGTACCGGGAGTTGAATTCGTCGTCGGTGAGCCCTTTGAAGCCTTGACGCCAAAAAACAATACACTCCTCCAGCGACAATCCAATTCCCTTGAGGAAGAGGGTATATTGCAGTCGTCCGTAATGCTTCAAGTGGTTGTTCTTGCGTAGGTTCATGTGAAGACTGCGCATGCATAGTGGAAAATGCTGAGATAGTCGATCGATGTTGTTCGCAGTAATCGGGGCGCCATCAACAAATCCTTCGTTCTCCGTGTACACCGACTCGGCGCTTCCAAAGTTCTTCGAGAGGTGATTGAGAATCGGGGTGAGGCGATCATCTTCATCCAAGCGCGGCAACGCCCGGCTTGTAAGCTAGCAGACGTCAGTGCCATATAACAGTCCATGTCCACCGTTTTCACATACCTCAAGAGCACGCTCCAATCGAGCCGTAAACTCTGCTATGATCATGCTGAGTTGCTCCCTACCAGGCACATACGCTTTCCCCTTGGATAGGAAAACTGCCCGTTTCTCTACCAACTCCGGGACTTTTTCCCAGTCAACCTTGTACCAGGTCTCATCGTCAATGCGACGTAGACCCGGGGAGGCGGCGAGCAATTGTTCTGCCAGCCTCTGTTTCTCCTCATCATCCACAGGCTCCCAATCGAGATTAAGACTCTCGATGAAAGCGCGTCGTTCTCTGGTGTCGTCGCGTTGGAAACGGAATCTGAAAAGCATAGTTTCGGCTCTCACGAAACGCCGACGGAGTTCCTCTGTGGCCGAAAAGGCGAGGCGTAAGATGAAATGGGAGTAGTGATCTTTCTGGCGTTCATTTTTCAGTCGTTGATCTGCCGCACCGTTGGAGGAGGATGTGTTGGAGGATAGAGGGAGGTATTTTTGGAGGTGAGGTGTGATATGCGCTTCGGTCTCTGCCGGCGACTTGTTTCGATAAGAACAGGCTTCGATTTCAGCCAAGACTGTCAAGGATTGTGAGTATCTATAGTATACTGGGATTTTGAATTGAAGAACCTTTCAATCGATCAATGGCCCATTGCTCGAATTGTTCGAGGGTGATCTCGTCGGTCGGGGGGATTTCATAGAAGTTTAAGCGATGCGGATAGTCCTGTTGCTTGAAGACCGGAGTCGCGAATTGTTTCTTTTTGTGGTCGAGGGTTGCCCTTCTCTTTGGGTCAATTCGGCGAAAATCTTGCCGGATCATCTTGTTTTCCAACAGCGATTTGGACGCTATTGAGGTGTCTGGTCGTTGCTTGATCTGCTGCAGTTCAGCAACACCTACTACTGGATGGCCCATCGCGCGACGGACGCGAAACGCGGGCAAGACGCGCCACGATCACGTGATACATAACTTAATGTAATGCTCGATTGGGACATGTCAACACCGCAGTGGTGCAGCAGGGATACCGGGCTAATTGATGGGGTAAAGATTCACAAGTAAGTGTATACTACTGAGCTGCGTCTCAAATGTCCCACTTGAAGCAAGCGCTAGCATGTTACACGCATGTGGGATACTTCCTGGGCTTCGCCGGTAGTGTCATGACAGGCTCAAAAATGAAGCCAAATGGGTGGAACAGCCAACATCATTCTCTTCCCCTCTGCCAGCTACTAGGTATCTAGTATCTGTATACAGTACAGTCCTCTCCTACATACCATAGTTGCTACGCTTAAGGGACGGAATCACTGTGAAAATAATAGCCGAGGCTCACTGTAGAGACACCCCATACTTCGTACTCTACTTCCAAGATTAGCTCGACAACGTAGCATGTGAGAAGTAAACATGGTCTGACCCTCTGCATGTACTTTGTCTTCGTCCGAATTCATAGTTAGCACTGTGGAAGAAGCAGTCAATTGCAACGCCAAAAGCCGACATTCCCATGTGTCGGTAAACGCTCCGATCTCCGCTCACCGATTTCCTAAATGGGCAACCATCTACAAACCCCACGGAAGGGCGTGCTTTCCCCGGCTTGAGAATTGTCGACGTATCAGCTGAGCACCGACCTGGCCCGATAAGCTGCGCAAACTATTATCTTCTTCTACCAGTCCTGCAATCCTTGTCTACACCCTCTCAACTGTTTCCCTGAGCCGCAATGGAGATAATATAGTGTGCCCGCCATTCCTCCACTTTCCCCAAACTAATTGTTGAGGTACCCGCCTTTCGCCCTACCTTCAAATACTCAACGACGGCTGCACCAGAGCACCGAATTGCCTCCAACCCCGAGACTATATCGACAGACCTCATAACCGAATAGCGCGCGAAATGACCGCTACAATCCGGCAGCTCAGAAAAGCAGCCCGAATCATTCTCGTCGGTGCTCCTGGTGTCGGCAAAGGTACGCAAACTGAGCGGCTCCTCGCCAGATATCCAGAGCTCGCCTCCATTAGCTCCGGCGACCTTCTGCGCGAAAATGTCCGCAGGAAGACCCCTCTAGGTAAGTGACCTTGAGTTTGCAAGATGCTTGGGAGGCAGGATCTGTCTAACGGTTTCCGCACTCAGGCCTTCAAGCAGAAGCCACAATGCAGTCCGGCAACCTTGTCCCCGACTCGATGATTCTCGACCTCATATCCTCTGAATTCAAATCACGCGGCTGGCTCTCGTCAGCGCCAAGTTCATCAATAATTCCCTCTGCATCTTTTATCCTTGACGGCTTTCCGCGCACTGCGACCCAGGCTTCAAGCCTAGAAACCATCGTTCCCGTGAACTTCGTCGTCCACCTCGTCACACCTCCTTCCGTCATTCTCTCTCGGATCGCGTCGCGCTGGGTACACGAGCCATCCGGGAGGGTTTACAATACCGATTTCAATGCGCCTAAAGTTCCCGGCAAGGATGATGTCACAGGGGAGCCTCTGACTCAGAGAGAAGATGACTCGATCGATACATGGAAGCAGCGATTGCACAAGTTTGAAGAAACGAGCAAGGCATTGCTAGAACACTACCAGCGTAAGGGCTGTCTATGGCGTGTCGAGGGCGACACAAGCGATGAAATCAGTCCGAAGCTTTTTGCAGAGATTGAGCGGCAGTTTTGCTAGAGTTTTCCCACCTGATGGTTTCCAAACCTCACCCCCGGTCCTATATACCTTCTTGTACTATATATCGGTTATATTCTGACTCTATGCTTGTTGGCGTCGCATCCCTGCAGTCCTGGAAGGGCAGCAAATGGGGACACTGCTTTTTTGTACCACTTCTTTACACCCAGACACAGCTGGCATCTTTTCGTGGACGAGTTAAAACCTAATGATCAGTCTAACGATATTAATGAGTGCCGCAATGATAATGGATGACCAGACATTCATCTATATTATTCCAAATATACAACCAAAAGATCAGCTGCGCAATGCAGAGAGACACATAACGACAGGGATATCTATCAGTATCAGCCGTATCATCATCAAAACTTGAGCATCATGCAACCACATCCCAAATCACAAACGCCCCCATTGCGAATCGCAAGCATAAGTAAAAATCCCACCGGGCCTACTTCTTCCCCTGCCCCCCATCCTCCATCCCCGTCCTAGTCTTAAACTCCCTCGGACTCTCCCACGCATCCCTATCCTTCTTGAACCCCTTCCACAGCCCCAACCCCCTCGCCTTCGCCCACCACTCCGCACTCCGATACTTCTTCTCCATCACCTCACCCCCGAACTCCGCCCCAACCTTCGCCTCATACACCGTCGCCAACCCCTTCCTCAACATCTCATACCCGACATCGCGCCTCCGAAACGGAATCGGGAAATCCAGCGCCCGTCGCACAAACACCGTCGCCACTACCCGCTGATACTGGTCCTGTCGGTGCACGTAGATCCGCACGCGCCGGCCTGTAAGATACCCCGTTAACCACTCGTGGGCTTCTTTACCGAAGGGCTGCGCGGGGCGTCCGAAATGCGCTTGTTCAGGGGCGTCGACGCCGGCTAGGCGGACGTGAATCTATTCAATACCCAGTCCTATGTTAGCTACAAACCACTCCCCTATGGTATACATGTAGTAAATAGTATAAGGGGCATACAGTCTGATCCCTCAATTCCTTCCGCGTCGTGGGAACCTTCTTCCAGGGTACCCAACCCCAGCCTGCGAGTCTACCGCCAGGTGTATGATAGATGCGGAAGTTGTCGCCATCGCCCACGCTGGTTACTTTTCCCAGGAGACTCCGCCGACGGTAATATGCGGGCGTGATGTTGACGGCTGTGGGGAATCGACGGAGGTAGGTCCGGTGCAGGGTGACGGCGCCGAGGATGCCGGTTGTGAGGAATAGTGTTGGGATGAGGGTGCGGAGTTCGGTGTAGGCGCTCCAGTCGAGGAGGTTCTTGGGGTCGTTATTGTTGTCTGTGGTGGTGGGGTGGTCATTGTTGGTGGCTTGCGCGTTGGAAGTCCATGGCGGCCATCGCATGACGGCTCATGCTAGGACTTCTGCTTCCTGGCTTTGATGTGGGGGTTGCGCGGTGAGGGCGCCGCTTGGAGGTGAGAGTGGGAATTGGGAATTGGGTGTGTAGTTGGTATTGGGGGAATTAGGCTTGGGGAGAGGAGAGTCTCCGGTTTGATGTTTATTCGGGCCGTACGATGATGAGCTGTTGCCGAGGTGAAAGTTTGGCGGTCAGTGAGCTCCATTTGTCCCGGGGGCGGAGGAGTGGTGGCTGTATATAGTAGTTATCTACGTTTCGAGAATCTAGATAATTGGTCTTACGAGAGCGCTGATACCCCTGATGTGATTTTAGGGTACAGCGTATCCAGTCAGTCCCTTGATTCGAATTGCATAGATTCTTTTGATGCTATTGTATGTTCTAGATATTGAGCTGTTATTATCTATAGACAACTGCAGTAGTATCTTCGGTCATACCAGAAACTGACAAGACAGACGAAATCCCACAACCAGTGCGCCGCAGTGAGAAGAAACGAATTCGTACAAAAAGAGAATGGTAGTTACCGTGCCATAAATCAATCAATCAAACGTCTATTTGAGGGTCGCGGGCAGACTGGTCTTTGCTGTCGATGCAGCGGAGTCCGCCAGCTTCTTGAGCTTCTGCTCTCTGATCTTCCGCAGGTATACGAAAAGAAGAACGAAAATAAGTTCAACCCTGGTCGCTGTCAGCATGTGATTGCGCCCCTTCATCCAGACTAAACATACCTCTCCTTAGTCATCATCAAGAAGCCTTGTACAAGGAGTCCCTTCATGATCTGGGGTCCAATTCCCTTGAAGAGGGACAGGAGACCCTCATTCTGCACAATATATCGCATGACCTCGCCGAATGTTTTGAAAGGCTTTCCTTCGCGACCCGGAGGTGGGCGAGACTGAAGGCCGACCTTGGCCACAATCAATGGTTGCGTCGCAATAGTAGCTAGCGCCTTGGAGAGAGCGCCGAGGACTGCAAAAGTAATCGGGTTAGCTCACGCCATATAGGTGGTGATAGATATACTTACGGAAAGCTTCCCAAGGCTTCAGATTGTTCTTCCCTGGGAAGATGATATCTTTGAGGCGCTGATAGGCGCCGTATGTGATTGCCGGGTTGACCACCAGGATCAAACTAGCTTTGAGTCCTCTCCATAGACCGGTCCAACCATCTTCACTATCGACAATCTCCTTTCCAGTTTCAATGAGGCCCTTCCGCTCGCTCTTGTCTTGTGTCTGTTGCCGTGTGGTGATAACGGCAACGGGGATAGTGAATATCTGGGCGACCGCGCCCGCCACGGCACCGAGGGAAAGCTCAATGGCAGTTCCAGGGGGTTTAGGAACCTTGTTGGATGCCATGTAGAAGGCCCTCACAACGGTGTACCAGTAGAAGTAGGCGAAGTTGGTGGACGCCACACCGATGAGAGAGCCGGCGATTCCGGAGTATAGGCCTTCGATTCCTTCCTTCTCGACAATCTTGGTGATCGCATCTAATGTCGATTTATAGTGAACTGTTTCGGCATTCTCGTCTTTCGAGTCGCTTGTCTTGACTTGTACTTGGAGTTTCGTCTTGACACTGTGCATTGACGCATGATTATTAGCGTAAATACTCCTTTTCGGGCTTTAAAGCGACAACAGGTCCTTGCATACAGATCAAGAGGGTAGACCAAAGCGTTTGCTAGAACTGCACCTGTAGCACCCGCGACGGCACTTCCCCAAGGGGAAAGTGCGGGCTTCGACTGGCCGGCCATTATTGTGACGAGATGAATTAGTTGGTAGATTAAGTGGATGAGGTATTTGGCGTAACGTGAAATGCGAGAAGAATGTCGACCAGCGTCCCAAGCCGTTTATTGAAACACTTTAACCGAAATGCCAGTGTCGGAC